TGTCAAGACTGTCGCTGCATGTATTTCACTTAGCACAACCCATATTAGCGCATATGCGACACCCACACACAAACACCCGCCCAAACTGATCCCGATGCTTTCTCTGACACAGTGTCGTCATCATTCTCGCGTTTGTCTGCAGCCATGGGTCCATCCTACTGTGTCTTTTCTGAGTCCGGGTTCTTCAAAAAAAAACAGCCATCCCATGAAGTACCACACCAGAGAGGTCATGCCACCCCCCGTCCCCCAATTCAATGTTGTCTTCTGAATTTTGTGTTTGGCGGCCTTCAAAAAAAACAGCCATTTCTGTTGATGATGCTCGGCACTGCCGATCACAACATTGAAGTTGGGGGTTGCGGGGGTAAGCAGGGTATCTCTGTGGTTTCCTGTGGATGGCTGTTTTTTTTGAAGAACCCGGTGAGTTTTTTTTTTGGTTCCGAGTTCATTTTAACTGTTGTTAATATGCATGTGGATGTAGATCAGCACACATCCACACACATCGATGCGACAACATCAGCTTCTGAAATTTACGCATTGTCAAAGCATGCGCTTTGTAATCTGTGACAGCCCAATAAAGGTGGATGCTAAGGGCTAACCATCAGCTTGTGAAATTTACCCAAGACGGTTGTCAAAACTTATTCTGTATAATATGCGACAACCCCACAAAGGTGGATGCTACGGGCCACCACGACAATGTAATATCCAAGGCGCTCAGCTTCCAAAGTCTCGCACCTGCCACCTACAACTCTTGCGCCTGCCACGCTGTTTTCTACTTCCCCACTTCACGGCTGCCAACGCAACGCACATGCAACACACATGCAACACACATGCAACACGAGCATTTTCCCTGTAAATTTCCAAGCAAAGTGGCCGCGGGGGCAAAAATCTACACTTTCCATTCTAAGACCGGAGTTGGGGCTGCAAACGTCAAATCTTGCACGTTGACTGTAAATTTACAGGTAAAAAGCTCATGTTGCATGTCGTGTTGCATGTGTGTTGCATGTGTGCTGCATGTGTGTTGCATGTGCGTTGCATGGCAGGTGTGCAGGATAGAGCAGTCACGCTCTCAAAGTGGTGCGCCTGCCACGCAGAACGACAGCCAGTGCACCCCACGACATTGCGGAATCAGGTCAAAAAGGTGTCAAGACTGTCGCTGCATGTATTTCACTTAGCACAACCCATATTAGCGCATATGCGACACCCACACACAAACACCCGCCCAAACTGATCCCGATGCTTTCTCTGACACAGTGTCGTCATCATTCTCGCGTTTGTCTGCAGCCATGGGTCCATCCTACTGCGTCTTTTCTGAGTCCGGTGAGTTTTTTTTTGGTTCCGAGTTCATTTTAACTGTTGTTAATATGCATGTGGATGTAGATCAGCACACATCCACACACATCGATGCGACAACATCAGCTTCTGAAATTTACGCATTGTCAAAGCATGCGCTTCTGTAATCTGTGACAGCCCAATAAAGGTGGATGCTAAGGGCTAACCATCAGCTTGTGAAATTTACCCAAGACGGTTGTCAAAACTTATTCTGTATAATATGCGACAACCCCACAAAGGTGGATGCTACGGGCCACCACGACAATGTAATATCCAAGGCGCTCAGCTTCCAAAGTCTCGCCCCTGCCACCTGCAACTCTTGCGCCTGCCACGCTGTTTTCTACTTCCCCACTTCACGGGTGTGATCTGTATGGGCCTGCCAATGCAACGCACATGCAACACACATGCAACACTCATGCAACACACATGCAACACACATGCAACACACATGCAACACGAGCATTTTCCCTGTAAATTTCCAAGTAAAGTGGCCGCGGGGGCAAAAATCTACACTTTCCATTATAAGACCGGAGTTGGGGCTGCAAACGTCAAATCCTGCACGTTGACTGTAAATTTACAGGTAAAAAGCTCATGTTGCATGTCGTGTTGCATGTGTGTTGCATGTGTGTTGCATGTGTGTTGCATGTGTGTTGCATGTGCGTTGCATGGCAGGTGTGCAGGATAGAGCAGTCCCACGCAGAACGACAGCCAGTGCACCCCACGACATTGCGGAATCAGGTCAAAAAGGTGTCAAGACTGTCGCTGCATGTACGACATTGCGGAATCAGGTCAAAAAGGTGTGAAGACTATCGCCGCATGTATTTCACTTAGCACAACCCATATTAGCACATATGCGCCCGCGCAAGCAAACAGACACACCCACACACAAACACCCGCCCAAACTGATCCTGATGCTTTCTCTGACACAGTGTCGTCATTCTCGCGTTTGTCTGCAGCCATGGGTCCATCCTATTGTGTCTTTTCTGAGTCCAGGTTCTTCAAAAAAAACAGCCATCCCATGAAGTACCACACCACAGAGGTCATGCCCCCCCCGTCCCCCAATTCAATGTTGTCTTCTGAATTTTGTGTTTTGGCGGCCTTCAAAAAAAACAGCCATTTCTGTTGATGATGCTCGGCACTTCCGATCACAACATTGAAGTTGGGGGTTGCGGGGGTAAGCAGGGTATCTCTGTGGTTTCCTGTGGATGGCTGTTTTTTTTGAAGAACCCGGTATTAGTTGATTATAGTTGTATACATATATATATATATCATTAAATATCTGTATATTATATAATTATATATATATGCGTTCCGATGTGCTGTGAGGTTTTAATTGAAATTTGTTTTTGTTTTGAATGACTGATTTTGACATATTTTGATATTTGAGTTGACTGGTCCAGACTGATATCACAATAAAATCTGTCAAGTGACAGTGGCTCTCAATAATTAGTGTCTCCTTGGCTTCAGTGTATTTGTTTGCTGCACTGATTTTATTTCAGGAAATCCTATTGGAAATCTTCGCTCCAAGAACTCAGTGCATGGACGCGGTACTGTGAGACCATGCCACCTGTCCCTGAAGCTTTCGCGTCGTTAGACCCAGATGCCAAGAGCAAGCTCATCGCGAACAGCCCCTTGAGAGTTTGCAGGTGGCGATACCCTTCCCTTTGCTCACATGTGGAGAGACATGGAGGGCTTGGAGACACTCGGATCCATTATAGAAGTTTTTGATAGTTTTTGTAGATGCATTCGAAGATGTTCAAAGTTTTGTTTTGAACTGCTTATATAAACACAATAGTTTTTTTGGTTCTATTATTTGTATTTTTTCGTCTTTTTCCTGCATTGTTTGGGCATGACCTGGATTATGCTTTGAATATCCAAATAGTTTTGACATGGTCTGATCCATATAGCATCATATATAGATATTCTCAATCAGCCAGCTTTGTACCATCAACTCTTCTGCCAAGGAAGAAGAAAATATGTGGCGAGACTATGAGAAACAGTTGCTTGCTCACTGGCCAGATGTGCCTCTGACAGTGGGATGCTTTGTCACATTTTGGTAACCTTAGAGGACAAAACACAGGAACACAAAAGAATGACCTCTCATAAAACGCAAATCATTCCAAATCTCATCAAATCTCATTCTGTTTCTCATTGTTTCTCCCTCATTTGGAAAATCGTACCTGCGGTATTTGAGGTGTCATACACTAGCAGAATAATTTCCAGATGCTCCTCATCTATATAATGGTGCCAAAACGGAAAGGTGCCACGTTGCACAGTGGGCTCGGCATATGGTGGTATACTACGGTATATTTAGTGGTCATATACCCCCAGAATAATTTCATACCTGGTCCCATAATGGAAAGGAAAATCAAGGAAATAGAAGAAGAATCAAAAGATTGCCAGCTTTGCAGTCAAATATTGACATCCCCTGATGGTTTTTGCCTGCCACTGACTGAGGACAAAAGACGAGTTTCGGCCAACTGTGGCATGGGACGGTGCGCGCACTGAAGATGCACTACAAGGACCTGTGGCCTGAGCATGTAGCCGTTCTAGATCCAAGTTGCATTGAACGCAATGAACTGCTGAAAGCACAGGGATTCCCCAAGGTCATGCTTGTCTTCTTGCACCTTTGCTGTCTTTAAAGTGGAATGACATCTGTTAAAATATTGTGCCTTTCTTTTCATTTTCTTGCATGTTGTTTTTGATTGTTTTTGTGCGTTCTGAGTCGTGGCGGATGCCCCAGGGGTCAGAGACCATGAGAATAATTTTCATATATTTTCAAGCATTGACATGTTTTTTGTGTAAATGTTTTTTTGCATCAGTATCCTTGCACGATGGTGAATCGATGGTGTTTAGATGATGTGTTCCAGCTGATGTTATTTCTGTTTGGTTAATTGAGGGCACATACCAGAATAATTATGAACAACTGTGCATAAATTGAAATCTTCCCATACTGATTCATGCTCATACTTTCGGGCAGCCAATGCAACCTATCTTCAGGGCTCAACTACCACCAGAATAATTTGTGATAATTTATGATTCACACGCAAGCATTAATATGAAAGAAGGAAGTAGGTTTCATTTCAGATTTTGCAAGACAACTGCAGATGCTTGAGCTCAGGTACAATGATACTCACCAAGCTTTGATGGTGTTTCGGCGCATGGAGTGGGTGGCTGTTGTGTTGGATGGAAAACGGGATCCAGAGATTGAGAAGGCAGCGGAAAAGACATGCAGGAAATTGGTCCAGCTTTGCAAAGAAACTGAGCCAGAGCTTCTTGGCAAATATAGTGGATGAGTGGGATGTGTTGGATGAAAGATCAATAAAGTTAAGTTTGCACTCTTTTATGCTATTACATTTGGCTTTTTCAAGATTTGCTCAAACTGCCCTACCAGGCTGAGAACTTGCCACTTAATGTGCCCAGTGATGATCCCACAGGAAGATGAGTGGTCATGCGGACATCGTCTCATCATCTATGTCCAGACTTTGCTCCGACAAGGGATTGGTTTAATTACCGCAGACGGTTGGGCGAAACATATGGATGCTTTCCCTTTCGAGAACATGGCAATCTCTGACAAGACTTTGGAAATTCTCTGTCGACAGTCCCAGCAAGCTTCTGTGAAATCCCAACCAACTCCAATGAAGTCAGAACACAGAAAACGGGTAATCAGAATGGATTTGTCGCCCGCATCTTCCAAAGCTGCCAGTACGAAGACCAGTAGCCTGACAAAGTCTGACAGACCAGTGCCTTCTATGCCTGCTGATTCCACTGCCAAAGCTCCTGGTGCGATGACCAGTGGCCCCTCAAAGTCTGAGAGATCGATGCCATCTATCCCTGCTGATTCCACTGCCAATGGTCCTGTCAGTGGCCTGATGAAGTCTGAGAGACCAGGGTCTTCTACCCCTGCGGTTTCCACTTCCCAGACTCCAGCTGCGAAGATCAGTGGCCCAACACAGGCTCAGAAACCAGTGCCATCTATCCCTGCTGATTCCACTGCCAATGGTCCTGTCAGTGGCCTGATGAAGTCTGAGAGACCAGGGTCTTCTACCCCTGCGGTTTCCACTTCCCAGACTCCAGCTGCGAAGATCAGTGGCCCAACACAGGCTCAGAAACCAGTGCCTTCTATCCCTGCTGATTCCACTGCATCAGATTCCACAGTGAATTCATCAATGAAGGGGGATCCGGCAAATGCACCATCAGAAGCCAGACCTACCACTGATGGCACGACTGAGATTGAACCAGCCAAGAAGAAGAGGCGCACTATCTCAGATGAGTTGGAGAATGTGGATCTCTCTTGCGCAGAAGGGATGGACTTGCAGGATGCATTGGGGGCATGCATTGCCAAGATTCAATCTCAGAGACAATCCAACCTGAAACTTTCCAAGAAGAAACAGAGAGGGAAAAAGATCTTGAGAAAGGCAGGATTGGATTTCAACTTTCATTTTCAGAAGCGGCATGGGTGCAGGCTGGAGAGTGGCCACTGGGACAACTTCTTGTTTGCCGTGAACGATATCAGGATTCCTGAGGACGAGCAGGATGTTGGGGAGCTTCCTGAAGAATGTGAGACGGTGCTGGGCTGTCAAAAGTGCCGATCTCTGCTCACTGATTTCAAGATTGTGGAAGTGCGTGACAAACTGGCAGAGGAGGAGGATGCAGCACGTTTCAAGATCAACAAGAACTTGTCTCCTGCAAGCCAAGACTCACCCGCTGCAAGCAGCCATTCGAACAGTCCGTCCAATCCATCTCCAGGAGCTAGCCAGGAGGATCCAGGCGATCAAACGGGCAAGAGGAAGAGGGCTGGGCGGCCGAAGAAGGGTGAATCTCCGGAGTTCAATGTGCTAGACTTTTTGGCTGCTCACAGGGCTGGCACGTACAAAGTCCTGACTCGCGAGGAGGCGTGTTGTCCAACATGTCACATGTGGATATGTGTTGGCTTATGTACATTGTATTACAATGTATTACACTAATATTTACAAATATGATCAAATATGATATGTATTTTGATATCAATATCAATATATATATATATCAATATTTTCAAATATTCCATTGTACCCGTGGCTGTTTCTTCTGTGATGTTTTGAAGTGGGCAAGATGGGCAAGTATGTATGCCCACCTCGCCATGCAGGCCAAAGAGCGTTTGCCATCAAACAAGCAAAGTGATGATGACGTTCAGAAGGAGTTAGATCAGCGTCCAGTTCAATGCACCAAGTGCGGCGTCTTTTTCCACCTACCGCATCTGAGCAATGATGTTGCGCTGTGCCTGGTCTTGACAATCAGGGGGTGCTTGGGATGTTTGTGGATGTGTTTAGGACCTTTATGATCCTTTATGATATATTCATTTATAATTATATATAACTATATATATATATATATTATATAATATATACGCAACATATGGCACCATATGGCCCCTATCCAAATCAGTTTACAATATATGTTTATACCTATTTATAATTTATGATGTTCAGGCAACTATATTGAGCCCCATAAATTCACCCTCTCCAGGGACACCTTCCTCGGGACCCAGCCCCCGAACACCTCATACAACCCTACCCTGAGGACCCATCCTCCAAAAAAACACCAGTCCAACCAGTCCAACCCACCCCTCCCTCAACACCTTCCTCAGGACCCAACCCCTAAAAAACATTTAAAAACATTCTCAAGCAAACTACACCTCCCACCTTCCTCGAGATCAACTCCCCTACAAGCGTCCATAGATCCGACAGTCATGAATATACAGTCATTATTTGTGAGCTGACTACAATCTGGTCAGTACTAATTACCTAGTTTCCTGTCACATCATGTGTCTTTCATCTTTCCCCTGTGCCATATCCTGCAGCGCACATCTGAAGCCGTCCCGTCGTATCCCATTGATGAGGAAGAGGCATGAGGCTTCGCAGTACCACAGAAAAGCTATGTGCTCAAATGATGATTCTCTCATGTCTGATTGCAGTGGTCTAGATCTTTCTTCTGCGGATGGTGTGAAAAGTCTCATCGGAAGTGGTCACAATCCAGAGCTTGTGGAGATGTGGCTGAAAAGCGGATCAGTGGCTGTGCTGGGATCACCTCTGGATTCTGTGCGTATTGGTTGGACCGCTGGTGGGACCCTTGTGGTTCAGGATTCTCGCTGTTCAAATGTGTGTGAGAGAGGCCGTGATGCCTGCAAACAGTGTCTCATGGCTGGGAACCGGACAAAGGTCATGGCGACAATTCGGGAATGGTGTGTCAGGATTTCCTTCGTTGATCTGACGCATTGTGCATTGAAGCATAGCAGGTCAGAGCAAGCAGCTCAAGCAAACTTCATGAAGGAAATGTTTGTTGAATTGCAGCATGAGCCGCTGGCGACCACTGAGTTCAAGGATTTGCTGACCAGGAGCCGAAACATGTTCATGCCCATTGGCACAAACCGCCAGAATGAAGCTCTCCAAACCTTCATTCAGCGCAGTTTGAAGTTCTTGGCTCCAAAGATGATGGTTGGTGTGGCTCCAGAAGTGAGGAGACAGGTCTTTGACTACGTGGACGCATTGTCTGACGGAAGGCTGCTTCCCCATGAGTCTTCTGCGCTGGACAGGGTGCGTCAAGATGTGTTGAGATGGAATTTCCAATGTAGCTTTAAAATGTTTTGACATGTTTAAAGATGTGCTAAAATATGTTAAAATTGTTGGACATAATATACAAAGTGTATTAATACCACATAAGACTACATGTGATTCAATCTTTAGTACTGTTATACTTCTACTGTACTGTTTTATATGTGCTAATCCTTTGCGCTACAGCGTCGCAGGAACTGATCCAAAATGGAGCTTTGCGTGCAGATGTCTTTGCAGGCACTCTAGTGCCTCACCTATTACAGAAGGCTGACCGCATGCGCAGAGGAAAGCAGAGAACTGGCAGTTCCATAGGGCCAACAGCTGGATTGATGGAATTGGGATTCCTCCTTGGAGGAGCTTTGAAGAACCCAGGTTTACAAAAAGCGTTTGGGATCTCTCGAAACCAAGCCAAGCACACAATGTGCCCATTGCTATGCCCATTCCTCCCACGATTCTTTTGCGCTGAGCGAGAGATGTTGCAGGACAATGTGACCACAAGCTTGGGCCTTCTTCGCAATCAGGACTATTACCAGCTTGTGAGGGATGAGGTTGTTTTTGCTCGCTCGTTTAACGTGATTTATGGCATGAGCCACTTGCTAGCATTGGGCTGGATCATTTTCGTTTTTTTCCTGAAGGCGGGCGTGAGCCCCCGATGAGTTTGATTGCTGGTGATGATTATGAGGTTTCTAGGTGTTTGAAGGTTACTCAAGGATTGCTGAATGTCAGCAGGTTCAGGTTGCAGGGATTGTGCGTGCGTATGTGTGTACATCATGGTTTGAGCCATAGACATATCTGTGTTGTAATGTGTTGTATATTGTGTTGTTCTCCATTGTTCTCCACATTCTCCACATTGCTGCCACAACCTGGCTGAAGCAAAGGCGCCAGTGGTGTTTTAGAGTTGTTTCCATTGTTTTCAGGGGGGGCAAGGCGTGCAAAAAAGTGCACAGATGAACTACAGAGCATCCACCTGATAGCCACAAATAATGAGCGACAATTTTTGAGGAGTTTGCCGATAAACCCACAAATATGAGACACTTGTGGGTTGACAGCGCATGGACATTTCATGGATCAAGCTGAGCAGAAATAAAGGTACAGTTTGCGATGAAGCAGGACTCTCAGAATGATGTATGTTTTCAAGTTTGGTATCTGAAGGCAAGAAGGGTTTGCTTGATGTATTCACATTTAATTTCACAAGATCCATTCCTATCTTCATTTTTTCGCATTGCGATCAATATCACCATCTTTGCAGCATGGAGCCCATGCAACTCTTTGCTTCAATCAGAGGTGCGACCACCCCGCTGTCTTTGCATATGCCTTGGTTGCTTTGTGCATTGCATTGACCATGAAATACGAGGGGTTGACAAAGTTTCATAAAACATCCAGTGAAATCATTTGAAAATCTACTGTGGTCATCTATTTTGGGCATTGTTTTTCACCACACCCGCTGTTTCCATTTGGTGGCCAAGATCTGCCCATTATTGCATCCAGTGATCCGAAGTTGTGTTGCAAGGGTTGGCAATGGCTTCTTCAGCGCGCGCTGATGGCTCAACGGCTGTGGCAAAGGGTGCAGACAACTTGTTGCTTTTGACTCCCAAGCGCCCCACACGTGGTGGGTTGCCGGAGACACCAGGCAGCAGCAAGACCACCCCTGGAAAGTCCTCGCCTCCAAAGACTTTCCGCCGTGCCAATGCTATGAGCCCTTCTTCTTTTGCAGGCAAGATGCCTCCAGCTACCCCGACCAAAGCGACTGTGAAGAGTGCCATGAAAGTCAGTCCTTTGTCGATGAAGGCCAGCCCGATGACAAAGAATTCCAGCCCAAAAGATGTGAAGAGCCCAGGGCATGCCATGAAGAGTCCCAAGAAAGCGGTACCAGTTTCCAAGGGTTCCAAGGGTTCAGCCATGAAGTCAAAGACGAAGAAGCTTGCCATGAAGAGCATGGGGAGCATGAAATGTGCCATGAAATCATCGTCTTCTTCTTCGAAGGCACCATCTAAGGCCAAAGTGAAGAAGACGGTGATCAAGATCAAAGGCAGTGCACCAGTCATGAAATCAGCCAAAGGTGCCAACACTCGCAAGAAGCCAGCCATGAATGTGAAAGTCCAACAGGATTCTGGCTCTGACGTGACCATCACGGTCAGTGATCCAGGCATGATCATGGTGGAGCGTCATCACGATGCACGTGATGCAGAGGGCAAAACGAAGTTCTGGTCGAAGGACAGCCCTGATGAGCTTCATGACTTCCTGAGCAAGTGTTATCCTGAATGGGTGGAGGTCTATGATTGGAACACCAGCTATGTGATCGAGGGCACTCACATTACGGCTGACCCGTGGCCTGTGTGGGCACGCAATGAACTTGAAAGACACAACTGGAACTTTATGGAGCGCAAGGGCAACCGTGAGCGCTGGGAGAAGAACCAGTAATCACCTTTTTCCCAAGGTGATGGGGAATCCTGGTATGAGCCATGTAAGATACGATGTGGCCATGCATTGTGTCTGAGCTTAGCTGCCCATTTTTTCCTGAACCGATTCGACATGAAACTTATTATATTTTATGTTTGACACAAAACATTGACATTGTTTGGCCTGAAAATTTGGAATGGATGTCGGGAATCAGGACGGCAGCGATGTGGGCTGACACGACATGTCTTGTGGCTTGAATTTCTGTGCTCTACCAGCTTACTTACTGCCGAAAAGTGCAGTGCAACCGAGACAGCTAGGTGACCGAGATGGGAAGGCGAAAAAACAGTCGTATTGAATTGCATGGTTTGAAAAGAACATTCAGAGAAAGACATTTTGAATCATAAGGCATGGGCATGGTTTGACTTATCCATGGATACAATGTGTAGAAAGCTCTCACAAGCAACAGGCAGAGGCAAGACCTTAATGGATCTTAATTCTTTTTTTTGCAAGGTTTGTTTTGATGCATTTGTCTAGGAGTGGCTTCGACTCCCTCCCAATGAAGCTTGCTTGCCAGCGTCAAGGCAACGCTGACTGACAACATACGACAGGGTTTGAAAACATATAAGGTAATCGACAACAGTGAGGCAGAATGAGAACAAATATGACGTAATTGAACATATATGATATACGTATATCATCGTACATCTATATATATAAGATGTTGTCTGTGGTCATGATTATCATCATCGACTATTATATCACAGATTCCCAAATTTACAGCATTTGATCATACCAGGATTGTCCAATAATGCTCTGTAGATCCTGATATGCTGATGGACGTTTGCCCGCGATCTGATCATACACCATTGGACTCAGGTGAATAAGCACCGAGTTCCAATCACTTCCACAGTCGATCAGGCTTGAGAGTGATAGCTGGCAAACGACATTGTCATTGTTTTTTCATTGTCACTGGGTTTGTTGGGAAGTACCCGCCTACCTGCATTATGACTGTGGTTGGTGGAATTATCGTTTGATATTGGTATCTAGTGCTTTTATTGCATTTCATTGCAATGCTTGCAAGTGTCTGCATGTGAGAAGAAGTCAAGGAGTCCTATAGGCACAGGCACGCATACTCAATGATGTCTTATCTGATCTTATCCGCCTTCCTGGCTCGTGCAAAAGATTCCATACGTTTGTCACCAGTGTAAGGGCCACGGCTGCTCCTGTGAGCTATGTCCAACTCCATGACGGCCGAGAACCAGCACATGGGCTGCAAAAGGCAGAACATTTGTGCCAGAGGGGCCTTCGAAAACTGTCAGTTTGCTACGAGCATATTCAATGGACCTGTTACTGTCAAGACAGTCACCAACATCACAGTGAACCGGAGTGGCAAGAAGAAAGCTGCGGCTTCGTGGAAGGTGACAGAGGAGGGATCGACACAGAGTAGCAAGGACAAGATTGATGAGAATGGCCCCTCTGGATCAAGTAGTCAAAAGACTATGCAAGGCCCAAACCAGTCCTGTAAAAGTGGGGATGGTTTTGATGATGCCCACACAGAAATCCCAGTCAGAAATTCCGAGAAGCGCCTCAAGACTGCGGCTTGCCATGATGTCACTCAGCTTGATGCGGTGCCAATCCCAATCAATAGGATTGATCCTAGCGATGTTGGGCCTCAACCTCATGATGCAGAGTTCCATCATGACATGATGAGCTTCGATTGTGATGGACACAGAGATTACACACCTGATAGCTCGTACTTGTCAGATTGGTCTTCAGACTCAGAACAGGAAAGAGAGCCTACCCTGGAGCAGCAGGAACGTTCTCGTCTCACATCGCAAGAGCTCATGGACGCTTTTAATCTCTGTGATCACCTTTGGCGTTGAGGAACTCCTGAGGAATAATGAAGAATTGTTTGGAACCTGCAGGATTCCGAATGAGGTTCTTCATGAGCTCAGAGCAGCTGAGCTCATTCTTTGTGTGCCCAGATAGTCATTGGCAAGGCAACAGCCCCAAGTTCATCGGACATACATAAAAACATCTTTAAAAAATCTAAAACATACTAAAACTTATTTGCATTACATATTATCTGACATGGTCTCATTTGTCATCTAATTTTATAATAAATATATATATAAATATGCATACAAGTGTTTCCATCCGTGTCTATGATGTTCCTGCCATATTGTTTATTATTGTTTAAGACAAGGGAATTCCAAAGCGTTTGGAAGATGAAGGAGCATTCTGGTTTGTGACTTTGGGATGTCACGCTCTTCAAAGTCTCCTTTGTGATATGGTTGAGTGAATCGGTGTGTTGCAGCCACCAGCCATGACTGTACAGATGTAGGTTCCAACTCTTAAGTCAGCCAATGTGTGCCTGACTTCATGGACGTCTTTGCCCAGAAAGCAGCAAGGGAAAAAACTCGAAACACAATAACTGCTGAGTTTGCTGTTGAGAGTTCCTGGTGCAAAATTAGAAACGTTGAACACAATCAAGCGAGTGGTTCAAGTGACCAATATTTTGAATGAACAAAACAGCATACTGCTGATCACCTTTTACTGGAAATGCAACAGGGACATACTTTGGAGGATTGACGAACTGTCCATTTTGCATTATATTTTCAAGTGAACAAATTCTCTGCTGCAGGCATACAAGTTCTTCATCCTGCAGCATCCCCTGTGCAATCAGCGCTGTCATGAGGCACCGCCTTCTGCTACATTACATGTTGAAGCTTTGTTAGTTTGAAACAGATGGTTAATCAACAGTTGAATGTGTTATGGAACTCAGTTTGATTAAGAGTTTATTTCGATATATACTTTTAACTCGGCGTTGGGAGTTGGCTCCTGAGGAAGGGTTCGGGGTGGGGATTGGGAGTTGGTTCCTGAGGAGTGGGAGGAGTGGGAGTTGGGTCCTGAGGGGGATTCTAGAAAGGTCCTGATTGAGGGTATGTCCTGATGAGGGTTCTTGGGAGTTGGCTCCTAAGGGATGGCCGGTTTGGGGGTCTCCTCGGGAGTGGGATCCTGAGGCAGGGGGTTTGGGGGGTCCTCGGGAGTTGGGTCCTGAGGGTGGGTTCTCGGAAGGGTCCTCATGATGTCCTGAGGGTGCTTGGGAGTTGGCTCCTGAGGGAGGGCCCGGCTTGGGGGGTCTCCTTGGGAGTTGTGTCCTGAGGCAGGGGGGTTGGGACTTGGGTCCTGAGGGGGGTTCTAGAAGGGTCCTGATTGAGGGTATCTTGAGGGTCTCCTCGGGAGTGGGATCCTGAGGCAGGGGGTTAGGGGTCCTCGGGAGTTCGGTCCTGAGGGGTTCTCGGAAGGGTCTTGATGGTGTGTCCTGAGGGTGCTTGGGAGTTGGATCCTGAGGGAGGGTCGGCTTGGGGGTCTCCTTGGAAGTTGGGTCCTGAGGCATGAGGCAGAGGGGTTGGGAGTTGGGGTTGAAGGATCTTGATTGAGGGTATGTCCTGAGGGTTCTTGGGAGTTGGCTCCTAAGGGAGGGCCGGCTTGGGGGTATCCTCGGGAGTGGGATCCTGAGGGAGGGGGTTAGGGGTCCTCGGGAGTTGGGTCCTGAGGGGTTCTCGGAAGGGTCCTGATGGTTTGTCCTCAAGTTGCTTGGGAGTTGGGTCCTGAGGAGCTTGGGGGGGTTAGGGGGTCCTCGGGAGTTGGGTCCTGAGGAGGGTGTGTCCTGAGGGTGGGTCCTCGAGGGTGCTTGGGAGTTGGCTCCTGAGGGAGGGCTTGGGGGTCTCCTTGAGTTGGGTCCGGAGGGACGAGAGAAAACAAAAACATCGGGAGTTGGGTCCTGAGGTGGGGAGTTGGGGTGTTTGGGAGTTGGCTCCTGAGGGAGGGGCTTTGGGGGCCTCTGGAGTTGGGTCCTGAGCGGCTGGAGTTGGGTCTTCAGGAGGGGTCATGAGGTGTGCTTGGGAGTTAGGTCCTGATGGGGGAAGGGTGGTTCCTGAAGGTGCTTGGGCGTTGGTTCCTGAGGAGGGGGTAGTTTGAATATTTTCCTTCCAACTCAGGATATGTCACTACGTCATTCATGATTGTCACCTTGGCTCAAAGCAACATTACATGAGATGAACTTGAACAATTATATATATTTATTTATTTATTTATCTATTTATTTATTTATAATGCTATATGATTTGTTTATCATTTCTTAGTTTTGCACGGAATCCAGTGCCGACTTCATTTTGGAATCATGGCGACTGGTTCGAATGAGAAGAAGAGAGCCTTGATCTTGAGGCCTGAACATGCTGAGAAATTCTTTGGGTTTCAAGACTCGGATGGCAGTTCCAAGCAGAAGACATTGGAGCTACGAAGTTGCTTTTGTAGATGCATGCAGCCTGGACAGAGATTCTACATAGCAGCCTCCCAGCAGGGGAGAAATCTCTATAATGTTTCTGTCTTCAAAGTTTTGGGATCCTTGGCATTTATCGCCAATGACAAGATTGATCATGCAGATGTAGCATCTAGATATGACGAGCATTGTTGCTCTCAGAAGGATTACGATGAACTCCGGAAGAAATGGAACAAGGAGTTCTGCGTTGGATGGAAGGTGTCGGGTGCAGATCGCTTTTCCTCTCCAAAGTGGCTTCACTCCAAGGGGCAGGAGAATGCTTGAAAATATCATGAAGAGTTATTGAGATCAGACACAATAGTACAATTGAAGCCACAGGTAAAAGGGACCTACTGTTAGATGTTCTTTTGCGGGATTGTTGATTTCATATTATTTTATGTTATTATGTGATAGTTATTTTGACCTCGTGCTTGCCAGGAGACATGGATACTTTTCAAGGATGAGGAGTTGTACGGTGACAAAAATGATATTAAACCATCAAACTCATTTGGTAGCGGCCTTCGTCGGCCAGCAGTTTCGAGAGAGATTGAGTGCCAGAATGTGATATCCCCAGAAACTTCTGGACACACTCTCAATCACAGTGACGACCCTCATTCACAAACTTCTCAAGAAGAACCATGGGTACAATTGACACAAGAGCTTGAAAAGTTCATGGGCGAGGAAACGGAGATTTGCGAGCCATCACAAGTTCCAACCACTCTTCAGAATGATGAGAGTGCTCCTTCCAACCAATTTCCAGAGGCAAGGACAAATGAAGATGACAAAGGGATTTCCAGCTCATGTCAACTTCCAGGCATTGCAAATGAGGAGCCAATGGAGCCTCCAACTTCAATGCAAACGGCAAGCCTTGAGGAGAATAAGGATGATAACCAGACTTCCAGTCCTAACCAAATGGCAGGAGCTGCAGAGAAGGGTCAGCTTCCAAGTCTACAAGAAGTGGCAAGCCCTGCGGAGCAGCAGAAGATGGAGCCTTTTGGGCCCTTGCTAGTGGAGAAGGAAGAGCAAGAGATTGCTGAACCATGTCAAAAGGCAGTTGCACAGGGGCAGCCAAAGGTGCCTCCAAATCCATTAGAGCCCTCCAGCTCATCGCATGCCCTTTTCAAAAGCATACGTGCATCAAGGGTGTCTACGCAGAGAGAGACCCATGCACAGAATTTTGACAGTGCCCCACCTCCCAAGAAACGGATGGTCGCCAAGCAGAATAGTGATGCGTGATCGTGGGACAGTATGGGATAACAGAATATAATGGAATGCATTGCATTGGACATTTTTTTCATGCACTTTGGCATGCTTTGGAATGCTCTGGCCAGTAGGCAACGCTGATCATTGCAGATTCAAGACCTGTGCGATGTGACAACATCGCTGCGTGAGCGCTGTGACAAAAAAACCCATGTTTGGAAGGACTGCACCAACATTTTAGTGTACCATTTGTCATTCGAGGAAGCTTCCAGCTTTTATCATAGTTTCAGCAGCAGCATGCTTCAATATATGTTCCAGCAACTTGTTAGCCTTGGCAAACTCTTGTCCTGCAGGTATACAAGTATTTCACCTTCCGACTGGCACCTTGCAGTGAGCTATGGACTTGAGGCACTGCATTTTTACAAAATTTCAGGTTCAAAATCATTGAAACTTCAGAAACATGGACTCTTTATTCACAGTTCAAACTTGACATCAGCTTGCAGTGTGGACATGGAAACAGGGGTCAGGCTTGAAAGAACCACGTCAAGATTATCTCTCTTTTTTTAATCATTGGTGGTGTTCTCAGAAATCTCCATTTTCCGTATCTAGTTCGAAACTGGTCCAACATATTCCTTTTGCATCCTTTTGCCATCCTTTTTCCAAGTCCCTGGCCTTTGCACAAGAATGTGCGGAGGTCCAAAAATCTCCACCCGTGGGCTTTTAGTGAGCTTGTTTGGAACTCAGCTCGGCCAAGAGTTGCATTGGATAGATCCTCTCGACTTGGCATCTTTATTTCTCATATTCTGATTATTATCCACATTGTGTTAGTTTATTGCAAAACGATGAAACAAATCATGACTCGAAGACCTCAAAAAGCAGCAAACACATCAGACCTGATCAATGCTGAATTGAACATTGTGGATGCTATTTGCTGTTCTGATGTGTTGGTAGTCATGTCTTGTTTTCATCGCCCAACTGGCCAACTGGCTCATTTAGTCGGAGAAGTCAATAGTTGTCGGATTGCGATCTGATCTGTGGTAGTTGTTTTTCTGTGGAGTGGCTACTGGTCCTGTGGCCATCCATGACGAAGTCAAAGGTGAGTGCTGCTGACAACAGCAGCGTGGAAAAACCAAAGGGCCTTCTGATTGGTCAGAAGGTTGGGTCCATTGACTTTGCGAGTTTTGACCCTGCAATCACTCTGGAAGAACTTTTTGGGACAGAGTTGAGCGGGGCAGCTTTGCTAGAACAGATGCTGTTGTGGTTCCAAGACACTGAGCTGTCCACACTCCCATGGTACAGCTCTGATGGGGAGCCCAAGAACCGCAACATCATCAAGGCACCGCAGTCACGTGCCATCCAGGAATCGACAATTGCTCGCTACATGACTCGCATCTACAATGAGGGTTTATCCCAGGTCGTCTCAGGCAGGGTTTGGGAAAATGAACAAATTGATCAAATTTTGCAAAGCTTCACAATCTGGTTTAATATGGTTTAATCTTTTTTTAAATAATATTTATGTGAGCTATATATAGCTATATGATATGATTTGATGTTGTGATATGTTATGAAATGTCTTGACAACTTATGATTTGTTCTCGTTGCTGTGCGCCATGCACTTACTGGATCAGGAGAAGCAATCATGAAGTGGAGAAACCAAGAGCGTGCATACCCAGTTGCCGCCCTTGGGTTCAATCACAGGGCGGAGAGTTTTTACCGATGCGATGAAGAAGATCCCAAGAACAAGAACGTCACGGACACCCGCCTGAGGGGATTGAAGAAAGTGAGGGTTCTTCACTTTCTTACGCCCGAGTGCGTTCTCCACAAAATTGTCTCCCTCCTGAACCAGTTTCACGAGGGGAGTGCCCAGAATCATTTTGACGTGATGCAGGAGGCGCGAAATATATGAAATCAAATTGCACACAACCAAACAAATCCAATCAAATCTGTTTCACAAACTATGTATTCAAAGCGGTATGGTATGAGTCGTTATATGATGTTATTGTTGTCACTATCTGCTATAGTTACTGATTAAATATGATTAAAATTATTTAATTTTTTTTTACTATTGTAAATATCTGCAATGACATTGCAGACATTACAGCCTCCCTCATGCTTCTTTCCTGCTGCCCCACTGCTAGGCATTGCAGCTGGAGATGGCATGGAAGGCCAACTGCCATGTCACCAAGATGAACACATACAATCCTCGTTATCAGGCTTCCTATGAAGACTTCTTCTTGTCCAAAAGTGCAAGTGCTGAATTCTCAGGCTTTTTCAAGTCCAAGGATTCCTTCTACAAGACCATAGCCATTGTCCACCAGCTTCAGATTTACAGCATCTACAACCGTGTGGCATCATGGTCAAATGCCTTTGTGGATTTTTTGGACCCCAGGTACAATCCTCACACTTGTATCTCGCAGATGCATGCCTTGGGTGTGCTGATTGTGAACGCCTTGAAGAAGAGTTGCACCAAAGAGAAGATTGGAGTCATTCTGTTCGAAGCCTTGAAAGCTTGTGTCGGACTCTTAGATGCTGGATTTCCAGCCAGTCAAGTTGAGTACTGCGTGGTTCACACAGATTGCCATTTGATGCAATTTTACAATATTTTTTACTATATATATATAATTACATATGTAGGACTATTCGATATGTTTTGCCTTCCCAAGATGTTTCCAAGAGATGTTCCACGACGTTTTGCATCGTTTTGATTGCGTGTGATCTCTGGACCGTGAAGGCAGCGTCAATTCAAAGTTTGTGCTGGGGTATGGGTTTCTTATAATTTCTTGTATGGACTTGTGCTGGTTTTTATGTAGCACCAGCAGATGTTGACATTGAGGTACCATCGTGTCAGCAAAGTTTGTCCAGATGCTCTGGGCGATCACTCTCCTTTGCTTTCCCGAAGGGAGGGGCAGAAGCCAGCCGGACCATGAACTTGATCAACATTTCTATGGAGTCCAGTGCTGTCTCACGCAAGATGCTGAGAGACGCAGGTGATGCCACTTCTGGAGGAGAGGCTGCAGCCAAGGCCAAAGCGACTTCGAAGAATGACGTCAGCCTCTTTGTGAAGAAGGAGTTGGCCAGTGTTCCTTCCCTTGATATCCAGCTGAAGCCGGGAGAGGTGAAAAAGCTTCGCCAGATCCAGCCAGAGATGCCATCGACCGAGCCCGAGCATGCAGAGAATTCTGAGCAGTCTGAGCAGTCTTCCAAGGCTACTGGTTTCCAATGGTTTAACCAAGGGTTGTGTGAAGAGATGTTGCACAAAAAACAATCAAACATACCATCATGTAATCAGGGATCCTTCAGAACCAAATCATGTCCGGAATGAGTGAGAGGGGGCAAGTGTTTGGCTTTCATATGTTTTCATCGGTTTTAGATGTTTTTCTCAGTTTTGAGTTGTTGTGGAAACTGCCCACTGTGGTTTTTGTGGGATGCCGGACATCTCGAATACCCCTGGAATAATTTCTCCCTGGGGAAATTCCACCACATAGCAATCAACCTGGCTCTTTCCTAGTTGGTTTTAATGGTTTCCATTGTTTTCCCAGCCATTCATACTCCTTCACATTCTTCCATATTTCTTCATTTCCCTCCCAAGTACTCTCTATTGCCCTAGTGGGGATGAGTGGGAAAGCACAAGTGTTTGCTTTTCATGGGTTTTTGGTTGTGGCCGCTGCCCACTTTAGTTTTTGAGAGATGCCGGACATCTCGAATACCCCTGGAATAATTTATTACTACAAGAAAACACAACCACATAGCAATCGAACCTGTCTCTTTCCTAGTTGGTTTTAATGGTTTCCATTGTTTTCCCAGCCATTCATACTCCTTCAATCTCTTCCATATTCCCTTCATTTCCCTCCAAAGAACTCTCCATTGCCCTAGTGGGAATGAATGGGAAAGCACAAGTGTTTGCTTTTTCATGCGTTTGGTTGTGGCCGCTGTCCACTTTAGTTTTTAAGAGATACCGGACATCTCGAATACCACTGGAATAATTTATCATAATTTATCCCTACAGGAAAATACAACCACATAGCCATCAACCAGGCTCATTCCTAGTGGTTTTTAATGGTTTCCATTGTTTTCCCAGCCATTCATACTCCTTCACATTCTTCCATATTTCTTCATTTCCCTCCCAAGTACTCTCTATTGCCCTAGTGGGGATGAGTGGGAAAGCACAAGTGTTTGCTTTTCATGGGTTTTTGGTTGTGGCCGCTGCCCACTTTAGTTTTTGAGAGATGCCGGACATCTCGAATACCCCTGGAATAATTTATTACTACAAGAAAACACAACCACATAGCAATCGAACCTGTCTCTTTCCTAGTTGGTTTTAATGGTTTCCATTGTTTTCCCAGTCATTCATACTCCTTCACATTCTTCCATATTCCTTCATTTCCCTCCCAAGTACTCTCCATTGCCCTATAGGAATGACTGGGAAAGCACAAGTTGTTGCTTTTCATGGGTTTTTGGATGTTTTTGGTTGTTTTTTTCAATGTTTGTTTTCAAATTTTCGGTTGGTTGTGGCCGCTGCCCCCTTTTGTTTTTGAAGGTTGGTAGACATCTCGAATACCCCCGGAATAATTTCTCTTCAGAGGAAAGCCACCTAATTTTCTCTTATTTTTTCATTTTTCTCCAATCTATCTGATGGTTGTGAGTCTTATTGTTCCTTTTTGGTTTGCTTGCTGCCCTTTCCAGTGCAGGCTGATGCAGACGAAGATGCTGCGGAGCCAGCAGCAAAACGTCAGCGAACTGGAGCGAAGAGCAAGATGAACCAAAAGAAACGTCAGTTCAAGGCATATTCTGATGATGAAAAGGCTTTCTTTCGTTCTTCTACTGAGGCCCAGTTTGGAGACATGCGTCCCATCACAGCTCTTGAGGACATGATCCAAGCTTTGGATTACGGGCTTGCACTGTTGGTCAAGGACGGGGTCATTTCACAGAAGGATGTGAACTCTGAACGCGTGCTGAGCACTTATGGGTTTTGTGCTTCCCTGTTCTTCGAATTCTGTTGGCAAGGCAAAGTTGCTGTCAATGGACGGGAGTTCCGACAATGGAGTGCTTTACGTGGAGAAATCCAAGCAACACTGATGGCCACCAATGATCAGCTTGAGTCTCCCATGGATGCCATGGGCCTTGCCAGTTACAGTGGATCAGAGAGCCAAGCTCAGAACACAAAATGCATGAACCCACTGCAGCTTGCTGATCTGCTGTGTCAGAGCCTTTTGAAGGAGCCAGTGACGAGCGTAATTTGGGACTCAGAAGACCCAGATGAAGTTGTGCTGAAAAGCATTGCCAACTGCATGGCTGCCAAGAAACTAGGTGAACCAGTCCGGGCATTTGTCACCAGCAGCCTGCACCTTCCATTGCCTATGCACCAGGCTGTGCAGTTGGCTTTGCAGCAAGTCTTTGCCGTTCCTGCTGGGGAAAATCTAAGTCTGTCAGATTTGACCTCCATTTCCTTTGCATCAATCAATGAGAAGCTGCCTGCCGCATGGTGTGGTTTTGCGTTCGACGTCAGCACGGCCTTCGCTGAGCGACAGCGCTTCGTTGAAGGAACTGATGAGGCCAGGGTTTTGGGGTTGTGTCGTCTTGAGGATTGAGATGAGGAATTGTGAGTGGGGATGTTTTTTTCTCATCTACTCCGGGGCCTCAATAGACTTTGGGAATCTTTGGAATATTATGGAATATTTTATTGGTTGAATACAAAACTAATCAAGACATATCAGAACTATGTAGAACTGAAAGTTTTTGACTGCCAGACTATTGATCGAATTTTGACATATATAAATATATATATACTGCCTTTTTTTTGAACTGCTTCTACACCTCGCCAGACCTTTGATTAATTTTAGGGTTTGGATTCCATGTGCTGAAGGGAATTACAAAACCATGTGGCTGATACGTGTGGTATGCTGTAGCGACTCCCACAGACATTGTCCTTTGAGAGGTGTTTGGAACGAGCGACAATTTGCAACTCTTTGTCCAGCTGCGCACAAAGTACCTCTTGGCAATCCTGAAGGAGGTCCTGCCCGTCAAGGAGATCTCTGGTGTGTCCCAGGAGAAGAAAGACTTCCTAGTGGAGCTTGCTTCTATCTCCCAAAAGTCCAAAGACTTTGACATGTTGGTTGTCTTCGATGCCATTCAATTTGCTCGCACATGGGCACGTGAATGGGCTTCTTTGCTGGAAAAAGCAAGCAACCTGGTGGATTTGCGCCAGGTTTTGAAAGAGATGAAGAACCTCAACACAAGTGCCTTAAATGTTGATGAACAACAGGCACCGCATGCCCAGAGGCTGAGCCTTGACTCGGTGAGAGTGTTGAAGGAAGCATCCATGACTTTGGGAAACGGTGATGGAGTTAAGGCTGATGCAAAAGAAGAAGCAGAAGCAGCAGAAGACGTGGAGGGTAAAGCAACCAGTGTTCCTGTCTCAGCTGACATGACCGTTCAGGACGTCAATCATTTCAGAGACCGAGAGTTGATGCACTCATTGCAAGTGTTGGAATTTTCCAAAGACGCCACTGAGATGAACATCTTCCAAGGCATGTCCGAGGCAGCAGCTACAAAATCAGCCAGTCGCTCTATGGGGCCACTATTCGTCAAGATCTTGGAGAAGAAGATGGAAATTCTTCAGTGGGAGCTTTACGAACTTTTGAAAAAGGATGAGCAGAATGTCCAGTTCAATCTCTCAGGTTCGAACAAAAAGGATCAAGTGAAAATTTCAGTGCCGGTGTCTCAATCTCTATGCATGCCATTTGCAGGCAACATCAGCGTTTCAGACGCTGCCTCTGGAGGAAACAAGCCTCACTTGTTGGGGAGCTTGTTTGGGCTGAATTTCTATATTCAGCCGAAACCCTTGGATGTCCAACTTGTTGACTTCGTTGTTCCAGCATGGGCTGCAAAGCCAGCTGCAAAAGCTGATGGTTGCTTCTTTGTCCAGAAGACGGTGACTGCCTCCTTTGTTGCCGCGAAGCCAAGTGCTGATGCCCTCCCCGCCTCCATCTCTTTGCATCTGGTGACCGATGACTTTGGCATCCATCCAAACAAACGTTCTTTGGAGGAAATGGTCCAGAAGTACCAGGAATCAGGTGGTGGTGGGTGCTGGGGCACCATTGACATGCAAGTTCTTGTTCCTGTAGATGGTGTCCAGGAAAAATTGGCTGGTGAATTGCAAAAGCAAAGAGAAAAAGCTGAAAAGCAGCTCGATCACTTGTCCAGTCTGCGATGCGCAAAAAGCAGAGCAAGGAGACGAAGGAGGAGAAGAAACGGAAGAAAGCTTTTGAGACTGCTGGCGACCGAGAGAAGTTGCAACTACAAGTTGATGCAGCTGAAGGTGAGCTTAGTCGCCTGCAGGAAGTTGAATCTGAGGAGAAGCAGGTGAAAGAGGCAATCGACAAAGCATTGTCCAAATGCTCCCTTCCTTCCTCCATTCCTTTGACAGTCTTGACGCTGACAGAGCCAGCTGAGAAGGGGGCCAGGGCAAAGGCGATGCAGGAGCAGATGAAACAAGCCAAGGCCAAGCTGGCTACTATGGATGGAGAGGACGCCTCAGTAGAAGAGCCACGAGGCCTCGACAAGCTCACGTACCCCGGCATCCCACACAACACCATTGGTGCTCAAGCAGCCATTTCTGTTTTGCGCAAGAATGGTACATTGGCCCAGCCCAAGAAAGCAGCCAAAGGAAAGAAAGACGACAAAGCGATCACACAGAGTGAGATGAAAAAACTTGGGAAGCACATCCTGAAGTGAAGCTTTCCGAGCTTAGCCATGTTGAACGATATCCGACGCAGTAGACGCATGCTGCAAAGTTCCAAATGTTTGTTGAAATATGTTGAAATTCTTAATCGTTTTTCTCTGATTTTACCATATTTTATCTGATTAGACGTGTTATTGTTTGCTGATGTTTCCCAATGCCTATTGTATCCTATTGTTTATGAAAGGTTCGGTGAAATGATTTGAATTAGCATGCTACTGCACTGAGTAGGTAGACGGTCATCCGTTTTTTGTGCGCTTTGGGGATTGCGCAAGAAAAAAATGGAGAAAATAGTCAACACGAGGCGTTTCAAAATTCTTCGAAATCAACGATCCGGAGATCGTAGAAGGTGCACAGAGCAACCAAAGCTCTGTGTTTTTGCCTTCGCTTTTCAAATTCCAGAGATATGCGCAGTATGGTCTGTGTGTGCTGCCGCTAAAAGAGTGGCAGCCAGAAAGATCAGAAAAGATGAGCACACACACAAATTAGCCACCAGCTACGACTTGCAGCAGCACCCAAAAAATCTGGCTTGCTGCAGTTTTTCCTTTGCATTTCAGACTGTGAAGGATTGCACGTCATTTTGCCAGCAATTTCATTCAATTATTATCAATTATGCATTATTTCTCTTCCCTAAATGTCCAATGCTTCTCCAATCCTTTCCACGATCTTTCCACCAATATCTCGCCACACAGTTCATCAGCTGGCTACTTGGGAAACGATTGAAAATGTTTGGAGGCTTAGGTTTGGATAGGTTTGGCATAGTTTGGCATCATTTGGCATCGTTTCGCGCTCGCCTGCCAAGGTTGGGCGCTTCCTGCTATGTGCCAGACTACAGTTCTGATACGTTCTGATCAGTTCTGATCAGTGCTGATTATTCGGCTTTAGTGCTGGTGAAGAAAAAAGCAGACAACAGATTAAATTTATATAAATTTATGATAATGTATGGACATTTTCAGTCTGCTCTTGTACAGATTGAGGGTTAAATGAGAGGTCATATACCGGCAGAATAATTACAGTACATAACAAACGGAAACGCAGATGATCCAGAGACACAAGCCTTTTCAATCCTTTTCAGACAGACAGTCGACGATCCTGTACGGGATCTCTTGGGTCGTCCTTCAGAGCCAGAATCCATTCAGAGGTCAAAAAAGGATCAAAAACAGGGTGTTTTGCATTTGGTATCGGGAGATCTACTACGAGGGGTCGAATACCACCAGAATAAATTTCAGGTTGAGGTGATACATAACACATCGTAACACATTATAACATATTACAACATTATATAATACATTTTAGAGCGTTTGATTTTTTCAATTGTCTTTTACATACTTTTATTCTCTGATGTCTTCTCAGATTTCTGAGGTGAAGATCCGACAGAGACCTTCGTTGTCGGGGGTGAGCATCCAGGGAAATCTATCCTTTCAACAAAGGAAGGCACTCCAAAGCTAGCAAAAGAAGATCTAGCAATGGTTCACTGCTGTACCATGCTCAAGGGCATAGATTCTGTCGGTGGAGGGTACCAGATTCAGCAGCTGCCGCGCCGTCGATTGGTTGACGCGGATCTAGAACTACATGCGATGGCTGATGTTTTGGATTGCTGCGTCAAAGGAGCTGGCGACAGACCTCCACTTTGCCTGGCAATGGATTGCCATGGCAGCTTTCACAAGGTGCATGACATGCTGTTGGGCATTCTTCCACTGTCGGAATTTTGCGACTTACCCATGTTGAAGAACTGTCACCTTTCTTCTTCAAGTCTGCGGGTGCCATGCTTCCCCTTTCGCCATCTTATCTATAAAGACGAGGACAGACCGATGTTCCCCTGCTTGGACCCGAAGCACATTCTCAAGGCAGTCTCAAGGTCACTGCGTTCATCAGCTCGCACACTGAGAATGTGCCTGCTCTTATTGTGGATGTTTGTGACTGTTTTTATAACGTTTATAAATGTTTATATAATCTGTTAATATCTGTTATAAAGGTCTTGTTTGGCTTTAATCCGTGTCGAGTTGTTTTGATATCTTTTGATATTTTGTGATGATCGCCCATATCACTGCTGTGTATGCCTTGCATCAACCTTTGAGGTTTGACTTCCATGTGTGCCTTGACCTGATGAGCCTGAACAAGTGCCCCGTCTCTTCGATCAGAGGAAAAGACGATCACTCAGACCGAGAAGCCATCCGCCTCATGAATCCAGTGTATCTTCAACAGAGGCACTATGACGACTATGGTTGGAGGATCCTGCAGCTTCTTTGCTTGACATCATGTCTCAACAGGATTTTGAAAAAGGTTTGAAATGAAATGGTTTGAGATTGTTTCAATTTATACAACATGGCTCAACATGTCGAGGTTCTGGCATGCTCTTACTTTTGGTCCATGGACTGCATCCAACATCTTCAGCGTGAAGGAGCTCCTTCGCAATGCCTTCAGCTCGTACTATTTGCTTCTGATTTTGATCATGGAAGCATTCCAGAGCAGAGGACGAAAATGCTGGTTCCTCTTCTTTCCGCAAATCACTTGTCGGAACATCTTGAGAATGCTGGGGGCATTGATCCTTCGACTTCACGGCTGGCCAGCAGATGCTGTGTTCGAACCGCGGTTGACACAGGAGGAGACTCACTGGGATGTTTTGGAGTATTTTGGAGTTGGGTCCTGAGGGAGGGGGGTTAGGGGGTCCTCGGGAGTTGGGTCCTGAGGGGGGTTCTCGGAAGGGTCCTGATTGAGGGTGTGTCCTGAGGTGTGTCCTGTTTTTATTTTAACATCTAACATCTCCTTGTTTTTCGATTTTGTTCAACTTTGTTCATGTTTTTGTTGAGTTTGTTCTCTTAATCCAGGACAGTCTCGAATATTGGTTCGGGCAAGTAAAAACGGCCAAACGCGGCATTCATGGAACGAGCAGTACCGCGAACTCCATTCAAGCGGCGCAACTTCTCCACTTGCGCCAGTCACAGCGCAAAACTGAGGCATTCCTTCGGGATCGTGCTGGGATATAAGAAATTTGAAGCGAACAGGTTTCAATGTGTTTAGTGTTTGTAGATTCCAAGTTGCTCCCGTCCTATCATGCCCTGCCTTTGGTTTCTGTCCATTTTGGATCTTTTTGGATCATGATCTTTTTGGATCAGTTTGGATCACTTGTTTTTGGTCAGGCCTCGTCCGAGAGGAAGATTCAACCCAGCGACAGGGAAGGCATTTCAGAACTGGCATTGGAGTGCTTGCAGGATGCCGCTACCTTTGCTTCAATCTGCACGATTCGTCGACAATCCGATGATATCATCAAAGACCTGAAGCAGTGGTGGGTTTCCAATGGGAAAGATCTTTTGCTGGTGGATAATGTGGAAGATGTTGACGAGGAGGATGCACTTGCACTCATTTGAATATTTTGGTTTTGTTTTGATAGGCTTTGGATTGCTTAAGATATTCTGGATTCTTTTGGGATATCTTGGAATATGTTTGGAGTCTCTCTGCGTCAGGACGTGGAAGAAGAAGAAGAAATACCAGAACCAGTAGAAGGGGAAAGTTTGGACAAACACGCCGTTTGTCACATCGTTGAAGTGGTGGAAACAGATGTGCAGTTGAACCAGCAGATCATTGCGGCAACCCAGGACCTGAAAGAATCCAAAGAACAGTCATTGCAGGCTGATGTGGATCTTTTTTTGAGTGAAGATCCTGAGTGCGAGGTTGTCGAGGAAGAGGGCATGACGATTGTGCCAGAGATTGGGTCGTCAAGGTCTTTACGAGAGGTGCTGATTGCCTCTGATCTTCAAGGGTTTCTCCCAACCGACAAGGATGATGAGAATCAGCTCTTCAAGAGAATCCAAAAAATGTCTCCACACCTTGGAAATTTCTCAGCTTTTGTTCGGATTGGAGAGGGGCTCTTGTCGAGAGCATCTGTGACTGGCCAAGTCCGAACCAGAAACCAGCAGCAGATTCTTGAACACGAACTGGCTGAGGCAAGGACAGAATTTGTTTGCAGCCAGGGTAGACAGAGTCGACTTGCCTTGTGGCAGGATTTCAGCAACAGAGTTGAAGAAGCACTGAAGCCAGTGGAAGTGCCGAAGCCCGACTCAGAAGAAACAATTTCTGCTGGGGCCAAAAAGATCCAAGCAATCGCTCCCAGTTCTTTTCACTCAGCAAATGGAGCCCGCACGTGCCAGCTCTTGCTCGTGAAGCCCTTTTTGGCAGGTGGCTCGGAGGGCCCACTACGGCTTGGAGTGGTGGTTGGAGCATGGAGGGGCGGCAAATCCAAAAAACAACATGTGTGGCCTGAGGGGCATCTACCAGTCAGTTCTGCCACAAAGGTCCACGTTCGTCTCTTGACGCCACAAGGACAGAAGAACGAGAAAGGAGATCAATTGTGTGTGGCCTCTTCGGTCAGTGCAGTTCTTTCTCTTGGTGCTCATGATGGCTCTATCCTCCTGGAGGTACCCACTGCTTGTTACACAGTGGAGTACACAGACACGCATCTCATCATTTGGATCTCCAAGAAAACGGTGCAAGCCCTCTCGAAGATCAACCAGGCATGTGTGCCATTTCACGCAAAGAAGAAGAATCAGGATTCAGTGGCTGCAAAAGCCTTCTTCTCAGAAGATGACTTCAGCCGCACCACGACCGGCGCGAAGAACATCCAACTTTACCTACAACAGATGAAGCGCGACTATGAGAAGTTCTTCCCTGCACTGGAAAACGAGAAGGGCAATTTGATGTTACGGCAGGACATTCAGGTCACCTTTGCCGAAATCTTGGCACGAATTTCATCGTACTTCAAAAAGTACCTGAAGGGCAGTGAACACTGGAAGGGGCTGACCAAAGAGTACCAGCAATTGCCGCACCTTTGGCAACATTAAGGATCTAAATACTGTTAGTGTTGATATGTGTTGATGATTGTTGGTGCATTTTATACATGGGACAAGTCATTTGAATGTATATAAATGGAATCAAATGGATCAGTTTGTGTTGTGTTTCAAAGATACAGGTTGTTCATGGTCTTCCTTATTATTCTGCACACTACTAGGATGTGGAGTAGGGGTGGAATAATTCTTTGCTGTAGGGAAGTTGCTGAACGCTGCTTAGGGGCAGATAGGATATGATAGGAGCTTCCTCGGCAGGCAGGTCCCGAGGGGGGGGGCAGGGTTCCTTAGGAGTTGGGTCCCGAAGATAAGGGGTGAGAGGATTTTGCTTGAAAGGTTATGTCCTGAGGTGGGGGGTGGAAGAAGGGTTCCTCAGGAGTTGTCTCCCGAGATGGAGTATTAGAGGGTTTACTGGTGAGCAAGGTCCTGGATTGGGATTGCAAGCGAATATGAGGGAATTCTTATTTGAATATCTGGTCCCTTTAGTCCCTTTCCTTTCTCTTTCCACATCCTTTCCTATTTATTTGATGATTCTTTCCTTGTCTCCCTCTTTTTGTGGTTTCCTCACTGTTTTATCTTCCTTTCCTGATCTGTTGCTTTCCTCAGGAGTTAGGTCCTGAAGATAGGGGATGAGAGGATTTTTCTTTAAAGGTAAGGTCCAGGCGAGGGGTGGAATAAGGGATCCTAAGGAATTGGGTCCGGAGATGGAGTATGGGAGGGTTTACTGGTGAGCAAGGTCCTGGAGTGGGAAAATCCTTATTTTAAGATGTGGGTTCCTTGAGTCTCTTTCCTATTTATTTGCTGATCCTTTCCTGATCCCTTCCCAGTGTTTTCCTCATTGTTTCCTCTTCCTTTCTTCCTCAGGAGTTGGATCCCGAAGATAGGGGATGATATGGTTTTGCTTGGAAGGTAAGGTCCCGAGGCGGGGGTTGGCAGAAGGGATCCTGAGGAGTTGGGTCCGGAGATGGAGATTACAGGGTTGCCTGGAGGCGCTGATGTAGGATATGGGGGGTGCCTTTTAAGATATTGGTCCTTTTCCACCTTTCTTATTGCTTTCCTCATCCTTTGCCTTCCTTTCGTTTCCTTATTCATTCCTCTTCCTTTGCTGATCCGTTGATTTTCCTTTCCTCTTCCTTTTCTGATGCCTTTGTCTTCCTCTTCCTTTCCTGCTAATTTTCTTTCTACGTCCTTTTCCTGACCTTTTTTTTATTTACCTAGATTTGTTCTTCTCATTTTACAAGTGCACATAATAGGATCATATAGCTATATAGTATACATTAATAATCGTTAATATACATGTATAGCGATAAGACACGATAAGACCCCCAAACTCAACGCCTTTTTTTTGTGAGCTTGGTGTGCACCATCAATTTCGATGTGATTTGACATTGGCTCACATGGAAACATGCAGAAACAATATGAAACGTTCCATTTCTGTTCAGCGAACAGCTTGAGTGATGTCTTCTGTTCATCATGAATTTGAATGATTTTGAGATATTTTGAGTTTTTTTGTGGCCACCTTTTCTTCCAAGGCTTGGTTGTGGAGGATTTGAGGATATTTGGGAATACTTGTATCATATATTCTCATTGTTTTTTTGCAAAGGCTCCTGGTGAATTCGTTTTAAATCATGGGATGCTTTCTTCAGTCGTTTGTGATTTTTGCCTCCCAAAGGATTTGATTCCCTGAGCTTTCGAAATTAACGATTTGTCATCTACATTGTTTTTTTGATTTTATCACATATTATATTATATTATCATATATTATAACATTATATATATACATATATATATGAGTTTTTCATAGTTTTTCATGAGTATACGATGTTTTTTGAATTCAATATCACGTCATATCTAATATTATCTAATATATTCTGGACCTGTTCCTATTTTTTCACGGGTTTAGACATTACCCTTGTTGTTTTTGTAAAGCCTTAAAATGAGGCAACATATGGTAAAGATAGATGAAATGCTGCAAAAAATGCAAAGAACTAATTTAGTATCAGTATGAGTCAATATGGTGCATTCTTGGGGTCGTGTGGTCTTGAGATCTAGGATGAGAAATTGCGAGTTGGGCAGTTATTTCTCTCATCTATTCCAGGGCCTCAATATACTTTGGAATATTTCATGTGCTGAATATTGTCTGAATTCTGACATATATCCGAGTGCGTTTTGATGTGTTTTTTCGGACCTGCATCGACACCTCGACATACTGTGGAATAATTTGAGGTACGGATTCCATGTGCTGAAGGAATTGCAAAGCCAGTCGCCAGAACCTAGCCACGATCACTTGAAGTTCAAGCGTTGGTTGATCAAGATTTACCGAGAGTCAGATGCACCCTTGAAGACTGAGATCTGACTTGCTGATGCTTCGTTGGTCGCGACAGTTGCCATGCATGTACAATGAAATTATATGAAATTCAGATCGGTCGCACTCACTTTGCACGTGGTTTGCAGCGCGTCTATTTGAGTCGTGTTGAACAAGGGACAGAAAACAGACGGCCAGATTTATGTAAACTCATGGAAACCAATTTGTTTCATATTGTTTTCACTGTTTACTTTTTTCGACGTGGTTCAACTGTGTTCAGATATGTTCAACACTTTTGCGCGCTTCTGGGGTCAGTCTGGCCACGCACAAGCACCAACTGGAACTTGTAAGTTGGCTGGCAAAATTGGGGTCATATTGGCCACGCACAAAGCATTCTGGAAAGTTTACTCAACCAGATGATTTGTAGGCCAAATCTTTCGGGGCGAACCTGGGGGCACAATCTTGTACAATCAAACATGTGCCTTCAAGTGGGTTCAATCAAACCAAGGAGGCACGCGTGTGAAAAAAATCTGAGCAGCTTCCTGAAAGCCGTCCAAACAAGCAGAGCAACATGGAAATTGAGCTGACGTGGAGATAAAGCCATACAAAGATATATCAAGCAATGTATTTTTAAAAAATTGGTGTTCTCATTATTTGGTCTTGAACGTTCCTCAAAACGAAGAAGAGTGATATGAAGTGGGGCTCAGTCCCTTTTTAATATTTTCATATATTTTCCAATATTTGGTGATGATTTTGGAACATTTTGAATGGTTTTGGCATTGCTTCGTAGTGCGGCATGGCAAATTATTGGCAGAAATATGCTGAGAACTTTTGCAGAAATTACACAGGTTTGCCATAAATTATTCCAACACGTCATTCACCCCTCAGAATAATTTCTGGTACTTAGCTCAAGGTATAGTGGAATAATTTAGAATTATTCCAGGGGTATGTGAGGGGGGGGAGCGCCCATGGTACGGTATATGGGTTAATCCACTTATAACTTAGGGTGAACTAAGCTATTTTGTGGGATGAACCACCAAGCAGTATTGAGTCTACTAGTGGGGCTCTCGTAAAGTGGGGGCTTGGGTCCTTGGCACCAAGTATGGTGGCTGTGAGTGGCAGATTGATAAACCTCAGTTTATTCGGAGCAATTTTAATGGTAACTGATTCCTATTTTGCGGGCACCCCAATAAAGTTCTCAAATCATCTAACCGGAGGATTTTTGTTTTACCATGCAGATGTTTGTATGATATCAGTAAATAGACACTTGGTGACGACCTTTGGTGAGAAATCTCGAGTTTGTGGATCCCTCACCACGGGATCCTTTTGCGCAGGGAGTTTCTGCTGAGAGCACGGAGGAAGCAAAGCCAAGAACTCTTTGCAGAGGCCTTGCCGGCGGCTGAGGAGGCTCTCAAAATGCATCTGGACGACGGCATTGGCATGTTTTTACTCATAATTAATAACCAGCTCAAAAAGTTGGAAAAGGTTTAATCGAATTACTACGATTTTATGAAATAGGATTTTGCTTCTTTAGCTTTTGGGTTGCTGTATGCGTTCTTAAATGAGGTGACCACCCAAAATAATTCAGGTTGTTGGTCATTCTTAATGGCAAAACAATGGCATTGGGATACCCCATTTCAAGAAACGCCGATTTGTGAGATTTACAACACGAGTCTACAGCTTGGAGCAGCAATCTCTGGCAATCTCTACATGAATTGATGGGCCTTTACGATCGACCTTGATTTTTCAAAGACCATGGTTGTTCGACAGTCAACCAATGCTTCACTGGTGGTTTGGGGTGTTCAATCCTGGGAATTCTTGAACTATGGGATTGTACCATGGGCTACCCCCATAGGAAACCCCTTTCCTTGATGGAGAAAAATCATGGTTTCCTGTGAAATGGCCTTTGACGATTTGACGAATGGTGCTTCGAGGCATGATTTTCTTGCGGTGTCTTTGGGGATTTCAAACTGAAGGGAGGGCCAAGGCTTCAAAGGCCTTAGGGCCTCGATCTTTTGGCAACTTCCTGATACTTGGGATGGCTTGGCATTCCGACATGGAATGCTACTCACATTGGAAGATTGTAGTTGCTCATTTTCCTGTCTAAAAACTGGAATACTTCAGGTATTTTCGGATGAGTCAAAATTATCAACCCCCCCTTTTTTCTAGTGATTTCGTCCTAGCACTTGGATCACTTTTGCGGTTCCATTGGTACTGCAACTTTGACCGACGAGGTACTATGCTGTGGATCGGAGGCATCAAGAAAGCGAAGTCAAACTCAGAGCCATGCGGTCTCTTGGCCGACCCAGCAGCAGCTTATTTTTAGTATCCTCTCCGCTTTTCATATCAAATACACCCAAAAAATGAGCCCACCAGATGAAGAAAAAACACATATATATCATATATATATATATATATATATAATAGTACTATCACTAAACCTGGGTTTCGCTTGGGGGGTAAATAATTTGACATGAATGGGGAATGTTTCATTATTTCACCATCCATTCGTGGGAGTCCAGGATTGACGTTTCCTTCCCGGGTCGAAAAAGACGTGCCATTGGCGTATCCAAGATTTTTTGGAGCATCCGATGCCAACTATCACCTTTGGATGCGGTCTTGGGTATCTTTAGGATTCGATCATTCTCAATTGCTGTGTGACCAGCACGCCGCAGTTTTTCAATTTGTTCCACTAGTTGGTTGATGGAAGGATACTCCGGATCAGTCCAGATTTTTTTCCCATAAATAATGTGAAATCATCATTTTAGGTCATTTCAGATACTCAGATACTTCAAGTGGTTTCTTAGTGCCTCAAAAAATTTCCCATCTGCCTCTTGGGTGAGGTCAGCTTGCTTGTGTCTCGGCAAAGTCATGAGACTCCCCAGTTATGTTGGTTGAAGAGACCCCATGAACCATAGTTACCATAGTTATACCGTTATAGCCTCCATAAAACGTGAACCAAAAGTAGGGAGTGGATTGGAGAATTTCTGCATTTTTTAATATTTTTTACCTCTAGATTCCACCTCCAAGAGTTGAAAAGCTATTGGTTTCTATTGGTTTCGCCATTGGGCTTCCAGTCTCCTTGCCGAGGAGTCACCTGCAGAGTAGTCTCAACAAGCTGAGTTGCTCGGCTTTCCCTGGGATGTACGCAGAATCAAAGCGTTCTGAGGGGAACCATGGGATGGTCAGATCCATACCCGAGGTGAGAAGCATGACCTGAAGGAATCCTTGCTGCTGTCCGTGTTGAAGGACCACGGCTGGATTGAGGGAACTGAGATGGAGTGGGGAAAGGTACCTGGTCACTTTGACCCTGCACCAGACTTGATGCTGGGCGGTGAAAACGGGATGGGTTGGAGATGTTGGGCCTGTTTCTGAAGAAAAATGGAGGCCCCCAAGAATAGAGAAACTTTGTCGACATATCATTTCAAAGATATTTTTCTTACGCATATGCAATGATTCTATATCTATATCTATATCTATGTCTCTATCTATATCTATATCTATATCTACTTCTATATCTACATCTACGTCTACATCTACATCTACATCTACATACATTCATACATTCATACATTCATACATTCATACATTCATACATTCATACATTCATTACATTACATTACATTGCATTACATTACATTACATTACATTGCATTACATACATACATACATACATACATACATACATACACATGATGTATATCCACGCCATTCAGTCCTGTCTGGATATACACAAATCTAAAACAGAGGTAAACCTTTTCCGACTGCAGAGACTCAATCTTCAGGAAAGCCTTCGTGAAGAAGCTGCGGTTCTGGGGGGAAGCAGAACCAGCACCAGAAACTGTTGATGCGGGAGAGGAGGAAGACGAGAAAGAGGAGGAAGAGGAGGAAGAGGAGGAAGAGGATGGGCTGCTTGGAGTTGCGGCCGTCTTTCTTGCAACTTTCGTGTTTTTTCTAGCTTTCTTTTGATATATATATATAAATATTAGACCGTTTATAGACCCCTTGAAGGGGACACACCCAGTTCCTTGGCAACGGATTTCTGAAATCCGAGTCTATAGGGCACCCCGGATTCCCTGAGCACTGATCAGGACGAGGGCAGTGAGGGCGAGAGGTAGCCCTCTCCTGAAGTCAGCCTTGAGACGCCTTCAATGTGAGCGTCCTGTACATAGTTTGCCTGTGATCCAAAGCTGGGCGTCCAAGATGACCCAATCGCAGTGGGCAAACATGGCCAAGCAGCACAGTGGAGTTGTGTAGACAGTAAACAGCCACAATCCTGCTGGTGACTATTTTCCCCAAAAAATTGAGGAAGACACCAGGTTCTCATTTGATTCATCTTCATCCCATATGTCTCCAGGCCCGGCCGTGTGTCGGCCGTGCGCAGCGTGCCTCCCAGCATTCCGCGGCCCGACTATGTGGAGCAAGGTGTGGCTTTTTCTAGCCACCATGGGGGTCAGTGAATGGCTGGGGTAGACCTGGTAATCATGGGGATTTGGCCAGCAAGAATGGGTTTCAGGATTCTAAAATATGGACTGAACAATCAGAATCGGGGAATTGACCAAGAGTCATGGGGATATCATGGGGATATGGACGGATATAATTATACATGATATAATCAACCAGTCTAAGTCCATTTCGCACTTTACTTATTTGTAATTTTTTGATGGGGATGGTGCTGCACCAACCAATCAAAGATTTCTTTGTTTTGCAGGCACAATTGGTATGTCCAATGCTCCGGTCGAATCCTAGAAATTGGGATTCTGGGATGCCATCTGAATGTCACCAATGTCACCCTGAATTGAATATAGCTGGCTGTTGAAACAAGGAGGCTAGCAGCCATGGCCATGGTATGGAAAGCGTGCAAGAACCAAGTTGTTTGAGGCTCGACACAGAAATCCTATAGACATCCCATTGAAACACCAATCCGAATCCCAAATCCTATAGAATTTCCATAGAAATTTCATAGTTCAAGTCACAGTTGTCCCAGTTCAAGCCTCCATTTTTTCGGAAACCGCCGCCCAGAAGTGGAGTTGGATCGTCGCACTGGATTGCCAAGGTTTGCCGAAATGGGAGGTTGTGCATTTGAAGTGGTCAAGCCCATGAGCTGATACCAGGCAAATACTGTAAAAGGTGAGGCCCAGAAGTTGCTTTGTGCCATAAAAACTCTAGTTATTTCCCCATAAACCTTATATAGTCAACCAGGTTATAAGTCAACTTAAGCTATGTAGGGGGTTAAAAAACCTTTGCTAATCCACCATTCGATGAATCTACTGTGAATATGTTCGCGTTTTTCTTAAAGCCCTAGATCGCAAATCCGGATCTTAAGTTACAATTATAGTATCCCCATTATATTTCCATTATATCCCCATTACCCAGATGGACAATTCTTATCATTTCTCCAGATAATCCAAGAGATGAATTCCAACTGATATCTCCAGACTCCAGACATTTTGGACCCTCTGGTAAACGTTTACATAGCTATTGAAAATCACTATGCTATGAATGGGTAAATCTCTATTTTTAATGGGCAAACGTTTACATAGCTATTGAAAATCACTATTTTTAATGGGTAAATCCACTATTTCTATGGCCATTTCCAATAGCTATTTTGACATAACCAGAGGGTATATCTCCAGATTATAGAAATCTTGTAATCCAAGAGATTCCATCGACCACTGTGCGGGGGTCCTAAATCACCTGAAGCAAAAGGGTTGCGTCCTGATGGAGGAATATAAAATGTCATCGAAAAAATGTCTGGTTATAGTTATATAGAACATATTCTAAACACATATATTATACATCATTATATATATATGTGAATTATATATATATATGTAAATTATATATATATATATGTATATGTGTATATATAATAACAATAATAATAACTAATAATAACTAATAATAACTAATAATAACTAATAATAACTAATAATAAATAATAATGATGATAATAATAATGATAATAATAACAATAGTAATAATAATAACTATATATAATATATATATATATATATTATGATATATATGTATATATTATAATATACACGAGTTATGACGTTTGTATGCCTAGTTGGATCGTTGTTTCATATATAAATAGTCAACCCTGGACGATTCAGAAACCTGCCAGGCATCCCTTCATGTACTGCACGGAGGTCAAAACTCCCGAGCAGGTGACGAGGCTGAAATTTTTAGCCCGTGGCTTTTTGGGCCCCTCATGATTTCTATATGCCCATCTATATGGCCATTGGGTTTGAAGGTCAAATGAGCGCTTGGGATCCCTTGGGTTTTGGAGGGTTTTGAGGTCTTCCCCGAATTTTCACAGTGGCATTGGGTTGACAACATGATCGACGGTACAGAACTTGATTCCGACCGTAGCCAGTAAGCGCTGCCAAGTCTCGGCCAAGATGCCAGGGCCATGGCAGCTGCAACCCTTTTGAAGATCCGTTGCTTCTGAAAAGATGGAACGCTCCGAAAAAAAAGAGCAAATCTTCATGGCTTTGTTGCAAAAATTATTCTCCCATTCTAAGTCCCCCATGAAGTGACAATCTTGCAAATTCTATTCCAAACCAGAGGGCATTCCATTCCATCCCTATGACATACTCAGCATTTTCCAGTTAAATAAGTTGGAATGGGATATATAATCCTCAATATTCCTAATTATTCCATTCCTATAGAAATTGCGGGATTTCCCATAAATCACCCATTCTTTTCCCATGGGATTTCCCCAATGTTTTCCCCCTTTTTCAAGGTGCTGAAGATGCGGAAGGCTTGCGCTTTGGCGCGGGAAGCTTTGGAGGTCGCCTTGGGGATGACTTGAGGGGTTGGATCACTAGAGTCTATAGAGATATTGGAGATATGCTACCTTTGTTGGATGTTTAGAGATGAAATACATGTTGGTTGTTTTTTTGTTTTGTTCTTTTAAATATGGTTTATGGTTGACATAAGGATTTCGATGGGGTTGAGATATGAGGTGCCTCTTTGGTGGATTTTCCGGCCAAAATTCTGGGGTTCCTTCAAGTTGAAGATCGGCCATCCAGCTTCATTTTTTTCTCATATTTGCCAGGACACCGACTAATAAAGATCAGAATTATATAGGTGTATATATATTTAGTTATGTATATATAGTTATATATGTAGTTAGTTATATATATATAGTCATATATATAGTTATATATACATATATATATAGTTATATATATATATAGTTATGTATACATATATATATATACATTATTATATATACATATTTATACTGCATGTTTTTTTTTTTCCCGGATCCTGAGGTTTTTTCGGATTTTTAAAGGCTCTTCCAAGATTTTTACGACATTTCTATGTTTGGGCAATCCTTTCGCTCAAAGCCACCGGGAAAGTGGCGGAGCCAGCCACCCCGTGCGTGGCCGCGCCCCGGATGTGCGGGAGCCCGGGTAAATTATAACGACCTCACTGCGACCTCACTGGAATCATGGTTAATAAGGGAATCATCCCGAAATTGGCCTTATTTCAGGTTAGTGAATCCCAGATGGATGTGTTATTAACAACATGTGGGGATATACTGAGGAATGGGGTGCATCGCAACTATCCCAAGATCGCCTAGCTATTCAACGGTTTGTGAATGATTACTGTATTTTTTTTTGCCCAGATGGGATGTTTTCTGAATAGTATGGAGGTTTCTTGAAATGAGGGTACCCCTAAATCATCCAGTCATTAGTCCATGACTTAGTATTGAAACAACCACGGTGACTTGAGGATGAAAATGGACATTGAAGCAGCAAAATATAGGTATTTAATGGATGTATAATCAATATAATTTACACAGATGGATGTTTAATCAACAGTAGAAATGAGGATATGTTGGGGGGCGATGAAAAAAGGGAATGGAATCTAAGCAACCATCTGGATGACTTTTTAATTAGTGACATCACATAACAATCTTTATCACATGTAAGATATAGATGGATATTAAGTTTTTTTTTAGCAAGAAAAAAAATGCTAGTTTTTCTTTTGATGGGGATAACATCTGGATGAATCACAATGAGCTCACTGTTTTTGGTCACAAGAATGATGGATTAAGGGAATCATCCACAATGGCCATATGATTAGGGCTAGTCATGTTCCATTGGGGCATTTTTCGGGGCAGTATATAAACTGACCGCCGACTATTCAAAGTCTTGGTGAAACGGGAAAACCATGGAAAAAAGAGGGCAGTCTTCCAGCAAAGCATGTTTGATTGGAGGGCAACCCTGCAGCTGGGTCCGTTTTAAAACCCGAACCGAAGGGATTTAGATCTTAGCTGCCTAGCTGCTATTGATTTTCAGTCTTTCCTCAAAGAGTTTGATGGATCAACAGAGTGGATGGTTCAATCCAAACACTTAAATTACCATCTGGTTATTTAACATAGCCATGGAAAATCACCATTTTCAGTGGGTAAATCCACTATAAATGGCCATTTTCCATGGCTATGTTAAATTACCAGAGGGTATATGATCTGGTAGGTTCCTTGGTTCCTTGGTCCCCCGGTACCCCGGTACTGACGCAGGTCGCAGCCGCTCCCAAAACCTGAGAACCTGATTGGAGTTACCTGGCAGGACTTTTTTTTGATGTGGGGATTGCATGGTTTTGGTTGTCTCAAACATGGGGTTTAAAAAACATCGCAAAATCCCAGGGGTTTTGGGAATTCATGACGATTTCTGTTGAACATCGTGATTTTGGGAGGCATTGACCATATTTTGCTGGATGAGTGCCATGGTTGGCGGCACCAACTCGCTCGCCGAGGCGCAAATTCGGGTGGTGACCACTTTTGGGGAAGAGATCGTGCCTTGGTCGAAGCCGGGTCAGGTTCGGGTGTTTGGCATCCGTGTTTTCTTCTTGGAGATGGGTTTAAGATGAAATTGGAGCTTAGTCCTAAGCGTTACTTGACATGGAGACGATGGTGCGAGGCCAAGACATTCGTTTCGGAAGAACAGATGAGGAGGAGCCTCAGGAGGTATCGTTGTGCTTCCGCAAGACGAAAACCGACCAGCTGGCTTCTGGTGAGGAGAAGACGTTGTATCTGTGCCCTGTGGAGGCCCTCCAGAGAATGAAAAGGGCTTGGCCGAACAGGTTCAGAAAGGGCCATTCAGAAAGCGAGCAGCCGCTTTTCAGATGGTCATCGGGCACAGCCTTGAGACGGCTTGAGACGGCTTGACATCCAACAACTGCTCCAGAGAGCAGCAGAAGATGTTGGGCTGCCCCAAGACCGCTACATGGCCCATAGCCTGCGCATCGGAGGTGCCACCGCGCTCTACCAGGCAACATCGGATATAGAATTGGTGAAACGGCTGGGGAGGTGGACTTGGTCAGCTGTCCACGGATATTTAGAAGACGATGGGACAATAGCTGATTCATCCAGGAGGATGGCGGATGTGAGGATTCAGAGCACCTAACGAGGAGGCTCCGCCATAGACCACAAAGAGGCTAGGCCATAGACCGCAGAGGCTGAGAAACACAAAGGGTATGAGCCACAGCCACATTGGTCAGAGGACCCACAAGAAAGGTATGAGGCACAGACCACATTGGTCGAAGGACCTGTAATGAGGACGCATGTTTTTGTACCACTGGATTGGTGGTGGCATCATGGCACAAGCCACAGCACAGATGCCAGGTGCTGAGTGACAGGACAATCTGTCCAACATGGAGGTGTACTGCGCCGCCGCCAAAAGAGTCGCAACAGCAGTGCGCAGACGTACACCAAAGTGTTTTTTTTTAATTGGTTGGCCCCAATGGTTGGTTGAGTTTTCAACAGACATGTTTTTTTCTTGACCAGTCAAGTTGAGGCTGGATAGTTTTTTTTTCAATATTATTTTCTGGATAAAGAATAATCTGGCTGAACTAGACGGAATTGATCGTGAACGTAGGAGGAATCAGCTTGCTTTTGAGCTTATGAAATGTGTGTTCTTTGCTACGATGCTTCTGCCAGTAGCGAGTTTACCCTTCGATTCTTGAACTTGTCACTTGAGATCTCTATTTTCAAGGGCTTGATCATCTACAAACAGGGATTTTTCATGGATTTTCCATTGCACTGCTTTTTTGGTTTCCAGGGGATAACAATGATATTATTCGGGAATCCATAATCCGACGTTTGGTTTGAGGCAACTTCTGATTGATGTTTCTTTGTCTGGGTCATGGGGGTGGCATTGAACACTGCTACTTTGAAAAGATATGTACTAGTGCACGTATTATATGTAAGTATGTTCCCATACCAGATATAGTAACCCCTAAAAAGATGCCAAAAACATGTTTTTCCAGGACGGTATAAATGATATGGAGTTTTCAGGGGACACAACTTGCTAGTTCCAGGGGATTATTCCGTAAAACCAGTATGAAATTTGAGTTTATTGTAGCAATTGGGGAACATTTCCTGAAAGCCTTTGCATCAAGCCATCAACCTCGGTGCCCCAATTCTCAATCTCTTGAAGGTCTATACATTTTCCCACCAAGGCATCCTACACTGTGATAAAGAAAATAACAAACCCATTTTCACAATGCATATAGACCAATTTTGGATGATTCTGGTACCCCCATTTTAGGAAACCTCCAACCGAAAGCACCCGTTGACCATTGGCACTCAAAGCTGACATGGCGTTTGAAGCAAGAATGCCAAAATAAGAGAGGTACAATAAGCGACAGGAAGGGGCCGGGATACAACCAACAATAACTTGAAAACATCAAAAACTCATAACGATAACAAAAGGGCATGATAACCATGATAATACAGCAGCAACAACGACGACGACTTGGATGATTATGATGGTTATATATTTATGATGATGATGATGATGATGATGAGGAAGAGGAGGACGATGATGATGACGATGACGATGACGATGATTATGATGATGAGGAGGAGGAGGATGAGGATAAGGATGAGGATGAAAATGGTAAGGGTCACTGACAGTAATATCGACAATTAAACACACAGATGAAGAACACTAATGATAACGCCAATCTTCGCAGTAGTAACAATCATAACAATCGTACCAACCACAACAATCATAAGAATAATAACAATCAAAAACAATCATGATAATCATATATAATCATGATAGATCAATAGATCATGATAGATCATGATAGATCACAATAGTAATAACATGATATATCATGATGCATCATGATAAATCATATATAATCATGAAAAATAACAGTAAATCACAACAACGTAATGACAGCAATCTGACGCTCCGAGGAGGGCGAGCTCTTTTGCGTGGACATCGGTGGCTCCAACTCCGTGGTCTTGTGCCAGAGGTTGTAGACGTGGGCGCTTGGGGTACCCGGATTTCTGGTGGAAGTTTCACACCAAAAAAGGGACATGGCCCTAATCGAAATAGATGGTTTACCTAGCTATAAAATGATGGGTGGATCTTTCCATGGCGAACTGTGAATGTCATAACCGGATGGTAATTTGGGGGTAGCCGCATTTTAGGACCCCCAAATATGGAGATTTTGATGAGGGACACATCAGGATTACCTCCTGGTCAGGCTAGAGAATGGCAACGTGAACTACAAGCGCTGGGCTCAGCTGGATCCAAGGCATGTGGTGTTTGCCATGGCCCAAGTTTTTGCCCAAAATAGTGCAAAATCAGTGGTATTCATGGGATAATCATGCGAATTTTGGAGATCTTCATGAAATCTTTTCCATATTGCTTCATCTTTACTTCATATCCCCATGGTTTTCTCCGTTCAGAACGGCGACTTCAGGTGGACCAAAACCAACATCATCAGGGAAGTAGTGGCGACGGGAGGCCCACCAGGTGGTGCCATCGAGGAGCGATAGTCGTGGCGGGCGGTTGGGTCAGTTGTATGTCTCGTTGTCATGGAGCAAAATGTTTGGATCTTGGAGCTCAACAGTTTTTTTTTGGGTTGCCTGAGTTGTTCTGGAGTTGTTCTGATTCTATGTTTTTCTTGTTTTTTTTGTTGGGGTTTTGGGGTCCACCTTTCGGGTTAAGCTGTATATTTTTTTCCATTTTGATGTCGGAATGAACTCTTTTTGACGTTTTTTTTTGCAGGGTCAAGTGTCAAGCAGCTTAGACATGGTCTGGAATCCCAGCAGGCCCCCTCCATGAAAGGAAGTATACCACTTTGGGATGCATTTTGGAATGGATGATTTACCATGATTCAGCGCTGAGTCATTGACCAGCCGCGTAGTTTCAAAGACCTGGCGATAGATGTTCTCCATGAACTGGGCGAAGCCGCCCCGTGGAAACCGTTCTCAAACAAAATGGGGGATGTTCAACATGTTCCGATCATCCTTGTCATCCTTATCCACAGTTGTACATTTTCATGGTGATCCTCCATAATCCTAGAGTTTTTACAACAGTTCTCTGGGTGCCGATGATTTATTCATCCCATCTCCCATTGGTCGAATCGGTGATCTTCGAGGAGCTCCCGGGTGTGGATTTCTCGGAGCTCGATGCGAAAGCCAAGAGGCTAGAGGAGGTGCTCAAAGCCCTTTGGGGTCGGATGGAGACTTGGAAGGTCCAACGAAATTGGTATAACCTGGTATGGTGGAAAACGGTATAGAAATGCTAGGTATAACTATGGTATAACTATGGTAAAACTATATGGTATAACTATATGGTATAACTATATGGTAAAACTAAATGGTATAACTATATGGTATAACTATATGGTATAACTATATGGTATAACTATATGGTATAACTATATGGTATAACTATATGGTATAACTATGGTATAATGATTTTGGTAAATGTTGGACATCCGACATCGATTTTTTGATCCAAAAACTTGAGGTCCAAATGATGGACTTAAGAAAAATTGTCGTGGAACCATCGGCAACTGTCACTTAGTGAACCCTTGACATTAAGCAAGAAAAATGGTCGTCTAAGGAGGTTATCTCATGAGACATCTTCGAGATGATCTGGGTAGATTGTTTATTCAAAACCCCTGTTGTTTGATGATGAGTTTTTGGATTATATATACTAACCAAGATCAATTGGGGATGATCAAAATCAGGGGAGTGGCCGTGATGTCTTTTCATGAACATGATACCCGTAAGAATGGAATAACATTGTGCTATATAACTGTTTAAAATGGCGGAGAATATCATAATATAGCAACGATTCTTATTTGAGATATGATTTACTGTATGATGGGTTGTGATTTAATGGAATGTAACTTGGGGATAGAATTAATAGAATTGGATAACTTAACTTACATTCTTCAAGTTTTTGTTAAAATAATATATACATATATATATATACATATATATACATCTATATAGATATATATATATACATATTTATATACATATATCTATACATATATATATATACATTTACATATACATATATATACATATACATATATATATATACATATATATATACATCTATATAGATATATACATATATATATATATATACATATTTATATACATATATCTATACATATATATATACATATTTATATACATATATCCATATATATATACATATATACATATATATATATACACATATTTATATACATATATTTATATACATATATATATATATACATATATATATATATATCGTTAAAGCTGGTGAAAAAAAAGGTAAATGGTCTGGAGCTAGGTGACAGTGGGGATGGTGATTTTCTACTGGGGGAGGGAACATCAGGAAAACCTTGGAATCATTAGCCGGATTTCACCAGGGTTGGGGATGGAATGGTATAATTCACAATTATTTATGCGATACCAAACTTTGTAAACTCCTTGGAATACATGGGGGGGGAGTTTTTTGCAAGGGATAATATAGTAACTAGATGTATAAGATGTTTTGTTTTTTTTTTAAATGGGATATGATTGTGTTTCTTTAAACACTTTAAGATACCCTGCAAGTGAATTCAGGTTTTGGAAGTCCGGGGATGGCTTTTCTACCGGGTTTGACACAGAAAAATGGCTTGCAGCAAAAAAAAAGATGGGGTGCTTCAGAAAACCAATTAAAGGTTGTCGAACATAGGTAGATATACAGTCCTTGCCAAACATGGAATGGTCTATACTATTGACGCAGCCAAGAAATGGGATGGTTTAAGCACGAAGAACGACAGAATAGTCAACAAAACATGTGTTTGAACCGAAAAACACGAATAATTGTGGAGTCTTCCTAATGAATGTGGAGTCTAAAATAAATCCTCAATCACAAAACATAATACCACAAGAAAACGGGATTTTACTAACATGTCAAAAAAAGACAGAGGATTCGTTACCGGAAATTTTGAGGCAAGGCAGGGTCGATCCCCAAGAAACAATTGGCAGCCGCCCTTTTTCTCTGATCTCCCTGTCCGCGAAAAAAACGGAAACCCAAAAACAAACAAATATCACATATACAACTTTGTATAACATACATATATATATATACATATATATACATATGTATATATATACATATATATATACACATGTATATACAGACAATATATATATATACATATCATATATATATATATACATATCATATATATATATATATCTACATATCATATATATACATATACATATATATACATATCATATATATACATATACATATATATATATATACATATCATATATATATATACATATATATATATACATACTGTACATATATATATATATATACACACATATATATATACACATACTGTACATACATATATATATATATTTATGTACATACATATATATATATATATATATTCACATATATCACATATATATATATATATATGTAGTCCATCGGAACAAAAGCTCTGTGGTTCCTCTGTGGTGCGTTCTCTTCAACATCCTCGAAGATTTTTTGTCCGGTGACCCAGCTCAAGCCACAGGGGATGGTAAACCAGTGGAAACGTGGTTGGGACATCCACGAAGTCAATAGGGGATATAATAGGTATGTATATGTATAAGGTGGTAAAGCCAATGCCATCAACATAGCATTTTTTGGGATGATAGTTACTGATAGTTACTTTGTTACCACAAAGATGGTGATAGGGAGGCATCCCACCAAAGATGGCCCCAACTCAGTCGGATGATGACAATGATGACTGTGAGGACGATGAGAGGAGGATGATGATGAAGAAGAAGATGATGAATATGTATATATATATATAATGATATATGATATATGATATATGATATATGACATTCGATGATGATGATTCATGTTGTTGATGATGATGAGGTAGATACACACGTCAGGAAAATTCTTTAGGGATCTCAGCGGATCAAAAGCAATGATTAATGATGGGATGAGACAAGGGGGCTAGAGGGAGAATGATTAACCCGGCTACGACAGGCAATCATGGGGAAAAACTGGATACCCTCTGGTGGCAATGAAACACACGAATTGCATGGTCAACAATTCCATCGTCAACTTGGATTAGAAGAGGGTATGCTGTGATCATTCAGCTTCCAAGTGATGTCGTCATGTTTTCTTCCAAGACTTCTAAGTGCGCGATGTGGCAGGATCCTTGGCCCAAGGCCTTACCCAAAGCCAGGCTGTGGTCATGTAAGCATTTACACTATGTATATGCAGAGTGTGTGTGTATATATATATATGTTTATGCAATTATATACATATAAATAGGTATGGGTATAGATGCAGATATAGACACAAATACAAACATGTAGATAGATAGATATCTCCATAAATTATAACGACTTTACTGCGACATCACTGGAATGATGGGAATTTGGTTGACTATCCCGGAATGACCGAACTATGGTTTTGGGTCAAGATTGGGCACCCCCAAAATTGATTTTTTTTGCCGTTTTGCCAAATATGACGAAAACAAAAGGTTCCCAGGGTTATTTGTGACCCAAGACCCCGGAATTGCTGAATCGCTACGCTGTTACTTGCAGCCCATGATGACCATGATCTTCCCATGGTCAACTGGTGAACTCTGATACTCCGTCTTTCTCGTGGTCAAATCTGGGAAAAAACTGGTGAAAACATGAACCAAAAGATCTCGGACCGGCTCATGGAATCGTGTCCTGGCACCCTGCTGCACGCAGTTCCCAACGGAAGTTACGACCCTGGCACGGAAGTTATTGTCAGCTTCCCAGGTGCGAGAGAGTGGCCAAAAATGCCCATTCTGGTTGTTCGATGAATTATCGGAACCTATAGGAGGTTACGGAAAATGTTTGTTGGTGGTTATTTGTGATCCACTATGGGAACAATGGGAATCCTCAGTTGACCCGTTTTTTTTTTTGTGAATGGCCAAGACTTTGAGCAGGCGTACATACTTTTGCATGGAACCTTTTGCATCGTTCGAAGCTGGTAAAGGGTATCTCGGCCACTTGCACATTTATTTCCGACGAAACGCATCCCGGCTACGGAAAGCATGACAAGTATGAAGGAGGGTGTCACTGTGACCACATCTATGGTAAGAGAGATGAGTTTGGCTGCAGCTGGTACACCATTTGGATGGAGAAAACACGTCAGGCCGCCCAGAATTCATGCAAGCTCATCGTGGTGACGACAAGGGATGGCAGCTTGCCGGGCAAGGGACAAAATGCAGAAATTCGCTTCTTGGAACGTGAGGGACTGCGCTACAGTTTGATGAACATCGAAGATTTCGCCTCGAAGCTTATTGAGGTCTTGCTTGGACACGAAGAAACCAGGAAAATCCTGGAGGTAAATCCTGAAAAGTCCCACCGGATTTCATTTTATGGTTCCTCTGATGAAGCTTTCAGCGAAGGTCGTGTGGCGATTGTCAGTTTCCCTGGCGTACATGGCTATGGGTGGAACAAACTCACAGAGGTGTCGAGGGCACAGGAAGTGAGTCTTGCTACAAGTTGTGTGTTTCTGCCGGATGAGAAGAATCCTGATTATGGCATTCATGACCAAGATGAACCTGGACCTTGTCACTGCTATCACCTATATGGTGAGGCAAAGGCCTGGGGCTGTCGCTGGTACACCATTTGGATGAAACAGACTTGCAAGGCATCACTCGCAGGATGCAAGCTGGTGGTGGTGACGAAAGATGATGGTAGCTTGGGTCATTCGCAGGAAGGGGAAGTGCGTTTTCTGAAGAGCAAAGCCTTTCCGCACGAGCGCGTGAGCACCGCAGAATTTGCGTTGATGCTCTTGGAATGCCAATGCTGAGACCACTTTGATACCACTTTGGGTGGTGAATATTTTGAATGCGAAATTTAAGCCATCTGGCAGACCATGAGTTGGCGATTCTGTCCTCGCTTCTTTTTTTTTTGCCCACGTGAGTTGACCCAACTGGCTCTCGAAGGGAGTGCAGAGTGATGTTTGTGTTTGTTTCACAGACACGCTGATAGGCAGGAAAAAGGCACTCTGGGAGGTTCTGTTGAAGGCTGGCGGTTGGTTCATCTCAACTTACAACAAAAGTTGAAGGTCTAAATAGGTATGTTCCAGCAGTTTGGGCAGATTTTCAGCAGAATTCCCATGTCTAATATCTCTGGATGCCAACAACATTGCACCTCCGCTCGGATCTAGGTAGTTCTCGGTGGTTGGTTTGATTCTTTTTGGGGTAAGCCCAATTCCATGGAGCCACTCTGAGTAAATGACAGTAAGTGGTACTATGTGGTACTTGGTACCAGCTCATTTCTTCTAACTGGATCATCTTGATGATGGATGTTGCTAGGACACTCGTTTTCGCTAAACACTTTTTTCTGCGTTTGGAATATAGGGGTGTCCCCCCAAGTTCAATGGTTGTCCTCATCATGTCCGTTTGGAAAATGGGCAAAAAGCCATCGGGTATCACCTAATTCTTGGAGAATCTCCAATGTTACGACATTTTTTGTTTGGTGAATCACCATTTCAAGAGGTGCCAGCTTGCATGACCTGTGCCATTCTGAGGTCGAGACAATGGAAGGGCCACTCTCAAAGAGGGCCCTTGCTTGGGGGTTTGCTGCTTCCAACATTTGTTCGCATGCTTCATTCTTTTCAAGATATGTGCGGTGGGACTATAGAGTTTTTCCCCACTAGCGATAGCTTGGGGTTGTTAGTCCTTATGGCGACTTTACCGGGTTTGAATGTGATGATATATTGATAAAATGGGGATATGATATAACCATATAAACCCAATACATTTTGTGTTGAGAATGGTAAAAGCAACCATCTATCCTCTGGCTAGGTATATATATATAAATGTATCTGGGAGTCTGCGGCTGCACGAGCGTTTTTTTCTTTCTGCAGGGGAACGGGACCCGACTTTTGGAGATCCCAGAGCACCCGCTTTGGGATGACAGGTTCATCCCATTTAGAACTGGCCAGGATGATTGCCAATGACCGGTGTCTATATCCCATTAAAATATCCGTTTATATCAGTTTATATTATAGTAACCCTGCGGATTTAGACAATTTTGTACCTGACCAAAAAGTAAACTACCATGATTTGGGTAGGACTTTCCTTATTTTTTCTGGTTGCCATTCGTTGCCATTCGTAGCTTTTTGATGATTTTGTCTTACCAGTTGCGCAATTATCATATATCACTATTATATAATGCATCACGTTATTATCACTACATTGCGCAGTTGATGATAATCTAATTTCCACTACTAACAAGAATCTAACCAGTTGATGATAAATCGATTTCCCCTACTTTTGCACTTCCTAACAATTTTTGTTGGTTGCCAAAAAAAGCCGCCTTGGAGTCTCGAACAGGACGCAGCCCAAAACGCTGCTCGCTACGGCGTGGGAGTCACGGAGCAGGTGAGTTGAGTGGGGTGTAAACCAAAATGGGAATATATGGGAGTTAATAGTAATATTATAGTAATATCATCATATGTAATACCATTTTATGGGAATATTATTAGTAATGGTGATATTTGATGTAATAATTTTTATAAATGATATTTGATATAATGCTAATACAATGATAATATGGTAGTGGTAATCGAAGGAAGTTTAGAAGTCAAACTTCCGACAATATGGACAGATGGAAAAGCAGAGGTGGGAAGATCAGAGAAGAGAAGAGAAGAAGAGAGAAGATCAGAGAAGAGAAAGAGTCAGAAGAAAGAAGATGCAGGTGCGCGAAAAGGTAGGAAAGTCGCGAAACACACTGGCGCGAAGCACATTTCCAAGTCAAAATGTACAAAACACACCATGTTTGGACCACTTTTGGAAGTTGAGATGTCGAAAAAGTGCGTGCAATTGTGGCGCGAAGCACATTTCCAAGTCAAAATGTACAAAGCACACCAGCTCCGGACCATTTTTGGAAGTTGAGATGTCGAAAAAGTGCACGCCGTTGTGGCCGAAGCACATTTCGAAGTCAACATGTTAAAAACACTACATGTTCGGACCACTTTTGGACGTTTAGATGTCGTTTCGCGTGGTAGGTGCAAGGGATTCTGCACTTGGTCAAAAGTGAGCGAAACGTGAGGGTTTTGTGGCATTTCCAAAAACGATGGCAGGTGTGGGGCATTTGAAGAGGATCTGGAAAGATGCATTTTGCGTGGCAGGCGCAGTACAAGACACATGTTCATCAGAGATGTTAGGAGGTCCGAGTGCTGATTTCCTGAGAACGGTTGCATTTTGGAGCATCAGATCTTCAGTTTTGGGAAGATGATTTTGCGTGACAGGTGCAGCACTTCGTATGACCTGGCATCACTTTTTCGTGGCAGGCGCAGTACTTTAGACAGGTGGAGTGGAAAAATCGCAAAAGCGGGGCCGTCAGCTCTGCACTCAACTTTCCATTTTTGAACGAAGTCTCGCGCAATCGTTTCGTTTTTGCTGTTGTCAACTTCGAAAATTGCGGAAGTCTCGCAGAATTGTTTCGTTTTTGATGTTGTCAACTTCGAAAATTGCGGAAGTCTCGCAGAATTGTTTCGTTTTTGATGTTGTCAAGCTCAAAAATTGAGAAAGTCTCGCAGAATTGTTTCATTCTCAAACTTGCAGACAGATAGATAGATAGGTAGGGAGGTAGATAGATAGATTCATAGATAGGTAGGTAGGTAGGTAGGTAGGTAGATTCGATCGATAGATATATAGATAGATAGATAGATAGATAGATAGACAGATAGACAGATAGATAGACAGACAGATAGACAAATAGACAGATAGACAGATAGACAGATAGACAGATAGACAGATAGACAGATAGACAGATAGACGGATAGACAGATAGAGAGATAGATAGATAGATAGATCGATAGACAGACAACTACAACTACAACTACCACTACCACTACACTATTACTACATTACACTACACCACACTACGCTAGACTACACTACACTAATTACATCTAATTACGCTACGCTACACTCCACTACACTACACTAATTACACTAATTACACTGATTACACTAATTACACTAATTACACTAATGACTCTAATGACTCTAATTACACTACAACAACAACGACGACGACGATGACGACGACCGCGGCGACCGCGACGACCACGACGACTAAGACTACGACGACGAAGACTAAGATTACGACTACGACGACGACGAGGAGGACGAGGACGAGGACGAGGACGAGGACGAGGACGAGGACGAGGACGACAACGACGACGACGACTACTACTGCTGCTACTACTACTACCACTACCACCACAGCTACAACTACACTACGTTTCACTACGCTACACTAATTACACTGCATTACGCTACAGCTACAAATACAAATACAACTACAACTACACTACATTACAGAATGCTACACCACACTAATTGCATTGCATGACACTACAACTGCAGCTACAACTAGCACTACACTGCACTACACTACACAAATTACATTACACTACGCTACAGCTACAACTACAACTACACGACTTTACACTACACCACAGTACACTAAACTACACTATACCACACTACAGTACACAACACTGCAGTACACTACACTGCACTACGCTATATAATTCCACCACACCACAACTACAACTGCAACTGCAACTGTAACTGCGACTACACTAATTACCCTACATTACGACTACAGCTCCACGACACTAGAGCTACAACTACAACTACAGCTGCACCACACCACACTACATCCAGCAGTTGTGGTGAGGTGACCACTGCAACCATCGCAACCACTCCAGAAAACACAACTCCAACCACCTTTCGGTCCATCTGTGGATTCGCGCTGCCATCTGTGATTCACAACAAGGAACCTCTCCTATAGGTTCCCTATCTTTGAAACTTCCCCAACCGCCTTGCGCGGTATTACTGGTCACAATGGTAACACATAAAACATGGTAAGTATCAAATGTCTGGTGTAATTTAATAGTGGGGATCTCAGGGATATCATAGGAATTGTATGGGAGATAATAGGAATATGTTAATTATCATATGGGATTCAGGGATGGATATTCAATGGGATGTAATGGGATATAATGGCTTCATGAATGGGAATTCACAGAGATTGTAACATCTATATGGGATTGCAATGGGACAACAGGAATAGAATTCGATTACGTTGGGAATAGTGAGAACTGATTGATTAAGGATCTTGGATTCCCGAAAAGAATCATTGTGATTTCATTTTGCTAAAAAACATGGTAGCCTCTGGAAAATTCACATAGCTATGGACAATCACTTTTGATAGGCAAACCATCTATGAATGGAATCGTCTATGGCTATATAGCTATGTTAGTTTACCAGAGTGTATCAGCCCCATTTTTCTTGGTGAAATCACCATTCAGCTACATTAAATCACAATTTTCATGGCAAAACCCGCCATACCACCATTCCCAATTAAATCCCATTCAATCCCGTTCAATCCCATTAAACCCCGTTAAATCCCATTAAATCCCGTTAAAACCCAGGATTTTTTTGCCATTGACCACCATGAAATCCGCCGTGCAAACACTGGAGGCACAGGACTGCTACGATGCCCTGAGCAAAACGATGCAAGCAGAGTCCCTTGGAATCGCTGGTATATGATATATGATATGTGATAATATCATACTATATTAAGTAAGGTCATATATGATAATATGATATATGGTATTTGATATATGACATATGACATATGACAATATATATATATACATATATATATATACATATATAAATAAATAAATACATACACACGTGATTGTACATGTGTAGCTGCATCTGTCTGACACCAAGTGACATTGTTGAAAATGGTGACCTCCCTGGTGGCTTTTCAGCTGAGGTGGGAGGGAGAGGACATCAAATGCATGGGCTGTAAAATTTCGAAGCCCTACGTCCTCTGGCGATTGTCGCGACGGGTGGCTTTGGGTGGCCTCCATGGGTATTTTTCATTTCTACAATATGATGCAACATGCAATGGCATGGGTGAAAAGATCATGAAAGAAGTCATTGATGTTCACCCGAATGG